AGCCTGAAAGGGCTTAAAGGAAGGCACGTGTCTGCACTGTACCAGTCTCTGATCTGCCACAGACTAACCAAACTGTGTAACCCCCAACGTTTTGATGTCAAGATTCCCCATTGTCTGCCCTGGCACCAGCCAGCTGCTATAGGAATGCTGGACAGGGCTGAGAATGGGAAGTGTTGACTGGTTTGCAGGTGTGGATCTTCTGGCAGCCTCTCCCTTTTAGCAAACACTCAAGTTTGTTTGAAGTGTCCAGTCAGGTTCTAGAGTTGTGAAATAGTTGATTCTGATTTTTTTTTTTTTTTGTCAGTTTACTGGTTGTTTTGAGTGGAGGGACCAACCCCAGCAGCTTCCTACCATGAAGTTTTTCATCTCAAGGGTCACAGTATTCTTATACGTATTGTCTTTCTAATGTGGTGTTTATGGATAATGGAAAATTCTTAGTAGGTTTCTTTTTTTCTGGTTTGTGTGCTTGACTATACTATCAAAGGAAAAGAATTGTCTTCAAATTTTAACACATAAAGGGTTAAGGTATTTAAGTGTTTTGGGGAAAAATATCTATAAAGTATAATTGAACTTTTATTTCAGTGCTCTGTCAGTATTTTGCATGGTAACTTTGTATTTTATGTAAATAAGAAATTTGTTTCTGGTGAAAAAAGTTAATTATTTTAAATATTAGTTATTCTATGGTTAACTTACATGTCCTAGAAAGCATTGGATGTTTATTATGATTTAATAATTGAGGGATAAACAGTAGAAAATTTGCTTATAAACCACTTATTGAGTTTACCTTATTTATAACAAGTTTAAATTAAAGTCATAGTCACTACGGAAAATGTTATAAAGAAAAACATGAAGCTATCTTTATTATGAAGTCATATTACTATACTTGATATTTTAGAATATTGGTCTGCCTTTTTAAGATTGGATTTTAATCCAAACTTTAAAATGCTAAATTTGTTCTGAATGTAAATTTTGCTTTTTTACCTAAAAAAATAATAATAAAAAAGCCATTTAGGCATCTTAAAAACAATCTGCAGCTTTTCCCTCAACCTTTCTGAAATTACTAACAAGAAATTATTTTGAATCTCTCAAACACCTAAGCCGAAATTTGCCACACTAATGAATCCTTTAATATTAGAGAAGTTTTAATCATAAGGTAAATTTGTGTCCAAAGAATTTTACCAGAAGTGCCAAAAGGCCACAATATGACAGCATTTTTGCAGGTAAATACTCATAGTAGAGGATCTATTTTGCGAGTGTTCACAGCTTTACAGCTGTTGTCTAGAAAAATATGTATATACTTAAAAATATATATATACATATATATATATGTCTTCCATTCTTAGGATGAAACTCAGATGGCATTCCAGGATGTTTTTCTGTTATCTAGTAAGTAAACAGAATGGTTACATTTCCAGAACTTAAACAAAACAAAGCAAAACATGAAAAGTTTTCTTTATTTAACAGTGGACAGCCCCAGATCAGGTTTATCTCCAGATGATAAAGTAAGATAACACAAAACAATTCAGGTTTTTTAAAGCACTTGTAGTTGGAAACTGATGAACTTTTCCAGCTCTGCGTGTATAGAGAATGTTAATATGCTGTTGTTCTGAATATCATTTATTGCCTTTTTACCTTTTTAATCTAGATATGACAGAAAGCTTAATATTTTTGAGAGCTACAAAAGCATAAACATTTTGCATTGTATACACAAATGTATGTAAATATTTGAATGGAGATATATATGTGTATATGCATATGGAATATATATATGTGTGTGTATATATGTCATAAGTGCAGTGAATAAAACAAAATAGAATAAAGGAATAGAGAGGGTCAGGAAAGAGCCCTCTGAAGATTAATATTTATGCTGAAATTTGAACATTTATAATGGTTTATTATGTAGTTAAGTATTTAAAAATATTAACAGTTGTGGAGTTTTTGTTTAGGGTTTATTTTAAATTATAGTGAAAATATGCATTCTTTAAAATCCAGATTATATTTTACATTTATAGTACAAGGCAATTTGAACTAACCCCGTCTGAAGTGGTCAGAATGGGATGTTACTATATTATGTGAATTAATTCTGTAATAATATCAGAAGGTTGTTACATCCTTATTTGTCATCTGAAAATGGGAAGTAGGTACCATGGTCAGTCGACTTCCAAATACGCAAGATTCGAAAGTGGTGATATTGATATGGTTTGATAAACACAGGTGACTACGCCACTGTGTTTGAGAATATTGGAGTTGAAAACTTGGTAGTTGGGAGCTACCAGCCGTCAGGAGTTTTTGTTTGGGCATACAGGTTTCTTGGAGTGTGTGTGGGAGGTCCTAAGACCATCCTCAGGCTTGGTGATTTGCTAGAAGGAAACAAATCAGAGAAAAGCAGAGACTAAAACTCAGGACTATGATTTGTTACAATGCAATGATACAGATTAAAATCAGCAAAGGGAAAAGTTTGTGTAGGATGGTGTCCAAGAGAAACCAGGTGTGAGATTTTAGTTGTCCTTTCCTACTGGAATTGCATGGATGGTGCTTCCTTCTTCCAGCCAATTTGTATTACAACATATGCAAAGTATTGTCAACCAGGAAAGCTTACCTGAGTCTTGGTATCCAAGATTTTCATTGGGGATCATTTACATAGACAGTGAAGTGCCCATATGTCTATTTTAGCTACTATTTTAGCTACTCTCCAGCTTGCCTTATCCCTCCTTTCCTCTGAGGTCCAACTGTGGCCCCAACCTCAGACATACAAAAAGAGACATTTACCATAATTTACATCATTGGCATAAATTATCTGGCTGAAGATCTCAGGTATACAAAGAAACTTACCCAGGCAGAATATTCCAGGGGCTCAGAAGTTATTTCCCTGGAGTCTGTCACAGGCAAGTCCTTTCTTTAAAATGTACAGAGTTTGAGCCCCCAAGCTTGGGGGCTGCACCCTTTTACTGCACAAAGTGATTTGGATTCTTACAAAGGAGGGTGTCTCTAGTGTAAATTCTTACAAACAACAAAAGCATAGGTGAGATTGGCCATAGCTCAATTTACCTTAAATATTTGATATGTTTTTTAACAAATGACATGGATTACTATCAAGGCAGATCTATATAAGGACTGACTGAGAAGTAAAGAATCTACCATTATTAAAAATTTTATTTGAGCATAGTTGACACAGTGTTAAGTTAGTTTCACATGTACAGAATAGTGATTCAATACCTCTATATGCTATGCTATCCTCATCACAAGTGTAGCTACCTTCTGTTACCATACAATACTATTACAATATCATTGACTGTATCCTGTGCTGTACCTTTTATTCTTGTGACTCATTCATTCCATGATGAGAAATCTGTATCTCCTACTTTTCACCCATTTTGTACTTCCCTTCCTCCCCACCCATCCCCTCTGGTAACCATCAGTTCTCTGTATTTGTAGGTCTGATTCTGCTTTTTGTTTGTTTATTCATTTCTTGTTGTTTTTAGATTCCACATATAAGTGAAGCTATACAGTGTTTGTCTTTTCCTTTCTGACTTGTTTCACTTAGCATAATACCCTCTAGGTTTATCCATTGTTGTTGCAAGTAGAAAGACTTTGTCTTTTTTGTGGTTGTATAATATTCCATTAAAATAAACATTAAAACACATTATGTGTATGTGTATATATATACATATATGTGTGTGTATATGTATCACATCCTCTTTATCCCTTCATCTATTGATGGACACTTAGGCTTATTCCAATTCTTGGCTCTTATAAGTAATACATTATACACCAAAAAGAATAATATACCTAGAGAAAAGCTTAAAGAGGTGAAAAACTTGTACTTGGAAAACTATAAAACATTGATGGGGAAAAACTGAAGACAGTACAAACAAATGCACAAATATTCCATGCTCATAGATTGGAGGGATTAATACTGTTAAAATATCCATATTACCCAGAGCAATCCAGAGATTAGGTGTAATCCCTATCCAGATACCAACAGCATTTTTCACAGAACTGGATCAAATAATACTAAAATTTGTATGGAACCACAAAAGACCCTGAATAGCCAAAGCAGTCTTGAGAAAGAAGGACAAAGCTGGAGGTATATTTTGACATCCATTAATTGTAAGATACATCCTAATTTCAGAGATGTTAAAATGTGAAGGGAAAGGTAATCCTAATTTTAAATCTCAGTTCTACCATTTATTGTTTGTTTGGCATCGGTCAGAGAACTGCTTTGAACCTGAAATAAGTGAGAATAAGTAGTGTAGTCTACTCTTTAGAGTTAGGAAGACTAAATGAATTAAGAGTTATAAAAGTGTCGAGTATGGGGTATGCCTGCCTTTCTGATGATGCTACATAAATATAGCATTAATCAGAATGAGTGGATCTTTTTATTTTATTTATTATTATTCTTCTTCTTTAGAAATATTTTTTTAAATGTTTTATTTCTGAGAGAGAGCGAGAGCGAGAGCATGGGAGTGTCAGAGAGAGAGGGAGACACAGAATCTGAAGCAGGCTCCAGGCTCTGAGCTGGCAGTCAGCACAGAGCCTGATGCGGGGCTCGAACCCACGAACTGTGAGATCATGACCTAAGCTGAAGTCGGACGCTTAACTGACTGAGCCACCCAGTCAGCCCTGCTTTTTATTATTTTTAATGTTTGTTTATTTTGAGAGAGAGGGTGGAAGAGCAGGGGGAGGGTAGAGAGAATCCCAAGCAGGCCTCATGCTGTCAGCACAGAGCCCAGTGTAGGGTTTGAACTCACAAATGGTGAAATCATGACCTGAGTGGAAGTCAAGAAGTCGGATGCTTAACCGATTGAGCCAACCAGGAGCCCCAGAGTGAATGAATCCTTTTAAAGAAGGGGTTGGACTTTGTGATGTTTGGTGGACATGACAATTCCTTATTATATTCCTATTTTGAAGATTGCCAGTAAACTTTGAATGACATTTTCCTTGAGCTTTAAAATATTTTATAGCTTTAATTTTGTGATCATTTTCTTCTGTTTTTTCAGGAATTTTCAAGTCACATTCAAGTGATAGGATGAAAAAATTTAAGAGAAGGCTATCCCTCACCCTTCGAGGAAGCCAAACTATTGATGAATCATTGTCTGAATTGGCGGAACAAATGACTATTGAAGAAAACAGCAGCAAGGATAATGGTAAATATTTGCGGGCTGGGGAGGGGAGTGGGAGGGAGGAGAGGAGAGATGCTTTCCTCTTTTAATTACTTTACAAATTGTAAGTTTTGTTTTCTGATAGGTTTCTATTAGCTTCTTTTTGTTTATTTCTTTGTCTTGTTCCCTCGTTCTTAGAAAACAAAAGATGACATAACCTTTGCTTGCTGGAGTAGTGTTACTTACTCCAGTAGTATTACTTTAAACTTCCTTCTGGTCTCTAACCCTGTGGATTCTCTTTTCTCATTTATTGTTCCTTTTGTCATTGGCTTTTAAATAAGAATACCTTATATAATAGTATCCTAGTTGTTAAATAACTATTTTTAAGTTAATATAGCTTAAAAGTTTAGTAAATTTGTGAAACTCCTGTTTGAGGCTTCATTATAGTTTTAGAACATTATATATGCATATTGATTAGATAACAAGTTTCATCACATGAGTGACTTTTACTCTTTTATTTACTGCAGTATCTATTCATAGTATTGAGAGCACTTGATGGGCATGTAACATTTCACATGTTTGACAGTTCTTTTTACAGTGTAAAGTAGTAGTTCACAGATGTTGATATAAAATGAAAAGAGCTTGTTAAATTGAGCAAATTAAAATGTAAAATCCTGATGAAATTGATAGAACAAGGACACACATTCAAAAGTGAAATAGCCCCAGGATTGTCTTATTAATAACCAGGAGGGAGTTACAGGAATGGCTGCCAGTATGTCATGATACATACATTCTCTGGCAAGCTGTTGTTTCCTGTGCCTAAAATTCTTCTGTTAGAGATTTGTGGCAGTGGGTGAATGCATGAATACCCCTACCTCCTGCATACAAGTGTCCTTGTTGTGAGAGGGAAAAGTATAAGGGTATGGGCTCTGAACTTTAAGTTAAAAGACATAGATTGGAATTTGAGATACACTAAAACTTCCTTATTAGTTATATGTCTCTGAGTAAGTAATTTATCCTACTCAAGCGTTAGTTTATCAGGGTCATTATTTATTCAAGTTGATCTGGCTGATTGTAATATGGGAGAGGAGACATAGATGAATTTAGTAGAAAAAAATTTTTAAATAATAATTTGGATATAAGTTACTTATGTAGCAGGGGGACACATCTTGCATTTGGGTCAAAGCTCAATGACAATTTTATACTGTCTTACATTTTTTTCTTCTTGCCAGGAGCAAAATCTTTAATCCTCTCAGACCCACTTTGAGTTCTTAGTATTTTAATTCAGCCCTATGTATTTGTTCTTATGGTCAAAGAGTCTTGCAAGCACACTATACATCTTGATGGATAGCTTCTGGGTCATGTTCTTAATGGGTATTTGACTGTGAGACAAACCTCTTTTTTAAAAACAGGAGGCACCTGTGTGGCTCAGTTGGGTGAATTTCTGACTCTTGATTTCATCTTGGGTCATGATCTCACAGTTTGTGAGATTGAGCCCTGTGTCAGGTTCTGCGCTGTCAGCGTGGAGCCTGCTTGGGATCCTCTCTCTCCCTCTGTCTTTGCCCTTCCCCCACTTGTGCTCTTTTTCTCTCAAAATCAATAAACCAAAAAATAAAAAGTAAAAGAGCATGAATCAAAAAAAATGGACATACTTCTTGGAGAGCTCATTAATATTTTTAGATTATTTGCATATTTTCTGGAATATTTTAGTATTGTCCTAAAACATGCTTAATTTATAATGAATGGTGAAATGTTGAAATTTTTTTCAAGAGGTATATGTTGTTTATTTTATTACAATAACGACTTTAACAAGTAGTAAAAAGGAAGAAATAGGATCTCTTACTGAGTTTTCTCTTAACCCAAGTTACTTGAAGATTTTATAATAGATATGCATTCCTCTGGGAATGCAGAGATTGTTAGGAGCATAGGCTGTCTCTGAGTTATAATCTGTTGCTTACACGCTTATGTGTTATCAGCCCGTGGATTTCACCAATACCCTTTGACAAAGATTCTACACCTTTATGGTTACTTAGTGTCTGCAAGAATATGTTCCGACATATTCTTATGGAATTTATCTTCGAATATAAAAAGCTCCTAAGATAGGTGACACACACAGTCCACCTTTGAGTATGGATTAGTGAATAAGAAATGGTGGACTAAACTGTTTACATTACCTTCTCACATATAATGTAGCCAGTTTGTGAAGCAAATGATATTTACCCCAACAGTAATATAGTGGTAATGCTAACTTAAGGAGGAAGAATGTAGTTCTAGTTTCCCTAAGTAAACTGCCTTTTAAAACAATTTTTGATCTCCTGTCTCTTGTTCAGTCACATGCATGCACACAGTGCTGTTACTCTTGCATTACATAAAGGCAGGTGGCTCTCATGCATACTCTGGAGCCAGTGGAAGGAGGAGGACATACACATACACATGTATGGGGATAATACTACCCTCCTTCGCCTTTTTGTTTCTCCCCTTCTGCCATTCTAGTTTCCTCGGTATTTACTACATAAACAACTTAAAAACTCATTATAAATGGCAGTTATTTATATGCTTGGTAACATGTGTCCAACTATTGTCCTTTCACATATCCTTATTTATTTTTAACAGTTGCTCTGGATGTAGCTTTAAAGTTTTTCTTTAGGTAGATGCTTATAATATCTGTCCTCACTAACAGCTGGATAAAAGAGTATGTTTGAAATAATTTTGCAGCCATATCTGCTAGCGTTTTGGTTCTTCCTTTGTAATAGATCCTAAATTTGCCTACTTCTCTCCATCCTAGTTCAGGCCACTACCATTTGTTGTTTAGGACACTATAATATTCTCTTCCCTCTGTTGATTCCCTTTCATCTGTTCTTTAATACCAACAAGAGTGATGTTTAAGTTTCTTTTTAATTAATTATAGATTCAAAGGAAGTTGCAAACATAGGACAGGGAGGTCCCTTGTGTCCTTCTCTCAGTTACCTCCTTTGGTTACATCTTCGTTAACTAACATTATCAAACCCAGGAAATTAACACTGGAATAAAGTATGAGTATAGTTTTGTGTCATTTTATTTATTTATTTTTTAAACATTTATTCATTTTTGAGAGACAGATAGAGTGAAAGTGGGGAGGGGCAAAGAGAGAGAGGGAGACACAGAGCAGGCTCCAGGTTCTGAGCTGTCAGCACAGAGCCTGACGCGGGGCTCGAACCCACGAGTGGTGAGATCATGACCTGAGTCAAAGTCGGAGGCCTAACTGACTGAGCCACCCAGGTGCCCCAACACTGGAATAAAGTATGAGTATAGTTTTGTGTCATTTTATCACATGTAGATTCATTTAACCACCGCTGCAATCAGGATAAAGAGGTATTCCAATACCATAAAGAGATCCCTCTCATGCTACTTCATAGTTATTCCACCTCCTTACCTCTCAGAGTGAGATCTTTAAAACATGAGTGAGATCATATTACTACCTGCTTCAAAGCTACCATAACTGATGCCAATGTCAGAATAAAATTTGAAAATTTTATAGTTACATGCAGACCTGCTTATCTCTTTGCCCTCACTAAATAACAATTATGTACTACAGCTATCCTTGCCTTCTTTGTGTTCTTTTAACACAGTGTTTGCAAAGTCTGATCTCTGGGCCAGCGATATCAGCCTCACCTGAGAAGTTGTTAGAGATGAAAATTTTTGGATTCCACATCAGACCTACTGAGTCAGGAAGTCTGGGGCTAGGGCTTAGCAATCTTGTATTTTAACAAGTCTCTAAAGGTGCTTCTGAAACATGCTAAAGTTTGAGGACCACTGTTCTAGCAAGTCAGACTCCTGACACGTGTTGACTTGGTGTCTGAAATATCTTTTAGCTCACCATCACCTATCTTCCCAGGATTGGCTCTTTCTTCCATTTATATCGCTGTCAAAAATGCTTCTACAGAGAGAACTTTACTCAGTATCTAGTGAAAAATAGCTACTCCTTTATTTTCTATCCTGTCTTTTAAAATTTTTTGCATATTGCCTATCATTGTCTAATATTTTTCCTTTTCATTGGTTTCTCCTCCATAAGATCTTAAAATCTTAGTAGTACCTTGTTTGTTTTCTTTACCTGTTGATGTCCAGGACCTAGAATGGTAGGCATACAAGAAAAGTCTCCTGAAGAATTGACTTTTTTATGATCTCCTTTTTTTTTTTTTTTAAAGCTGTATTCCTCAAGACTATCTCCCCATGTGGGTATTTCTCCTACCTGTAAAGGTTTATCAGACACCAAGAAGAAGACCACATGGCCTGTACTTCTACTGATAATGGCTGCATATAAGAAGATGGGAGAGGGAGAAAGGACCCTCCCAGGGGGTTCTATTCCCCAGGGTAACTTTTCTATAGGCAGATTATTTATGTAATTTATTATGATTCCAGATAAGAAATATTACAACCTTGAAAGAGAAAATGTTTCTTATGTGTTCTAGCTCGTATTCTACACTGTTTGACTATTTAATTTTGCATTTGTATCAGATGCCCACTCTCCATTCATTATGAAATCACTGATTATTTTACTAGGTTTAAGTTAAGGTCCCCCAAATCCTTGATCAGCCAGCTACTGCCAAGGAATGTACAGGCATGGGACACTTTGGACAGATGGTATCTATTCCTAGTTAGGTACTTTTCCTTTTTCCAGTCTGGTGTTCTACCCAAATTAGATAACTTGGGCTTTGTCTGAGCCCCAAGGGTCGTTTGGCTCCATCCTCCCTCTCCCATCTTCTTATATGCAGCCATTATCAGTAGAAGTATAGACCATGTGGTCTTGTTCTTGGTGTCTGATAAACCTTTACAGGTAGGAGAAATACCCATATGGGGAGATAGTCTTATTCCTGATTACCAGCTACAAAAGAAGAGCTGGCTCTGTTTTAGAGAAGATACTCAGAGAAGCTAGAGAAGCTCAGTTCTTTTTAAAATTCCTTGACTACTACCTGTAAAAACAGAATTCTTTTGTTTTTCTTAAATAGTTTATTGTCAAGTTGGTGTCCATATAACACCCAGTGCTCATCCCAACAAGTGCCCTCCTCCATGCCCATCACCGCCCTTCACCTCTCCCCCACCCCCATCAGCCCTCAGTGTGTTCTCAGTATTCAAGAGTCTCTCATGGTTTGCCTCCCTCCCTCTCCCCAACTGTTTTTCCCCTTTTCCTCCCCCATGGTCCTCCGTTAAGTTTCTCCTAATCCACCTATACGTGAAAACATATGGTATCTGTCTTTCTCTGCCTGGCTTATTTCGCTCACATAACACCTTCAAGTTCCATCCACCTTGCTACACATGGCCAGATTTCATTCTTTCTCATTGCCAGGTAGTATTCCATGGTATAGATAAAACACATCTTCTTGATCCATTCTTCCGTTGATGGACACTTAGGCTCTTTCCATGTTTTGGCTATTGTTGAGAGTGCTGCTATGAACATTGGGGTACATGTGCTCCTATGCATCAGCACTCCTATATCCCTTGGGTAAATTCCTAGTAGTGCTATTGCTGGGTCATAGGGGAGTTCTGTTAATTTTTCGAGGAACCTCCATACTGTTTTCCAGAGGGGCTACACCAGTTTGCATTCCCATCAACAGTGTAGGAGGGTGCCCATTTCTCCACATCCTCGCCAGCATCTAGGATCTCCTGATCTGTTCATTTTAGCCACTCTGACCAGCATGAGGTGGTATCTCAGTTTGGTTTTGATTTGTATTTCCCTGATCATGAGTGACGCCGATCATCGAAAAACAAAATTCTAATACAAAAGACTATTTATGTGTCACAGAAGACTTCATCCTGTCCTTAACTTGTTTTAGAGCTCTTCTTTAGAGGTGGAAAGGAATCATGAGATTCCTGTAAACATTACAGAACAAAATTTCTTCTATTTATAATCAGATAACTTTTTAAGTATTGTATTTTCTAAATGTTTCTTCTTATTTATAATGTGGTTTCTTAAAAAAAAGCTCTTTATATTAAAAATCACAAATTTTAGGTAAATTTCAGAACCTCTGTATTGATCTATGCTTAAGTACTTCTGTTTTATTCATTAACTGACACGCCTTTTGAATGTCTAACAAATAGGGATATAAATTCTCTCAGGCCAGGACCATGTATTTTATATTCTATAGCATGTCTAATCATAAGGCATATATGAAGTTAGTAAATGTAGGAACCGTTTGGAAACAATCTGGCGGTGTATTAAAATAAGCAAATGGATAAAAAAAAGTCTATGGACTATAATAGTTCTGTGATTGCTAACCAGTTTTGGTTATATAAGAAGTGGATACTTAAGTTACTAGACCAATTTTAAATAGTAAAGTATTTTCTATAAGTATTTTTCATAGAAATTATTTTAATTCTGGTACTTGTATAAATAGCCAAAGAATTCTTATATGTTACTGATCTCATAAACCTTTTGTTTTCTGTTTTGCTTTTTCAATCCTTCTCATGTGATCCTGAATCTTGGGCTGGTAATGAATGATTTTGGATACTGTGAACCACAGAGCCTATTGTGAAGAATGGCAGGCCTCCAACCTCTCACAGTATGCATTCCTTCCTCCACCAGTACACAGGATCCTTCAAGAAGCCCCCATTGCGGAGACCACATAGTGTAATTGGAGGAAGCCTGGGATCTTTCATGGCAATGCCCAGAAATGGAAGCCGATTAGGTAATTTTAACGGTTTTGTTTTTTTTCCCTAGAGGTCATGTACATAGCTAGATTATAGTTGTATGGAAGTCAGCCTGCCTTTATTATCTGTTTTTTTCTGGTAAGACAAAAACCAAGTTGAAAATAACCCAGATAGCAGAAAGATGGAAGGTTCTAGAGAGGTAATAGTGCTGACACTACGGTGGAAAACCTGTTCACCAGAAAGAAAACAAAACCTTTAGGAGATGGATGCAAGATTTCAAGATGAACAGCAGATTGGTGCTTAGTTTAGGGTCATACCATAGTTAACTCCAGATTGTCACCGTGTAGTAGCCCAGTGCGGTAATTAATATCCATAATTATCACCTGAATTGTTAGCCTTCGGTCACTGTGTCATTCTAAATATTCAGGAAAAATATACACCTCAAGTTTCTTTATCTCTCTGGTCTTTTTTTTATGGCATCTTACTATAATGTTTTGATTTTTAAAATCATTTTATAGTCTCATGACATAATTATGTTTACTGAAGTGTGGGAGAGGTTTTATATTTTGCTGCTTCCTTTATCTCCTTTCTTTGTCATGGTAAATTATTTCCTCATGTGTTAACTTTGGGGGTATGAGCTTATCTATAGTGGGGAAGAAATTTATAAAGGTTTTATCCTTCTAGGTGTAACCCTACAGAACGGTTTAGTGGAGTAGGCTCACACTGGTTCATGAGAGCTGATTCTTAAGTTTTTAGGAATTTTGCAAGCTGGTTTTTAAATATAGCCATTATTAAAATTTAAATTATATAAACCTGTAATTAAATAAGCTAATTAAAAACAAAGGCAATGAATACTTAAAACTCATTATTTCCTAATTATTTTACTATTCTTTACTGTTACCTTTGCTTTTGAGGTTATTTCTGTTATATCTGTAAAATCAAAATTTTATGTAATGGCACGTATGTTTCTTTCCAACTATATGCTCACTGATGGTCATGTAACTTGAAGTTGGCCATGGAGGGAGTATTTATCCCACAGAAATTGGAAAACACTTCAGATCAGGACTTGATAGATTGTTTTGCTGTCTAGTCCAGGGATTGGCAAACTTTTCTGTAAAGGGCCAGATAGTAATTCTTGGGGGTTTTGTGGGCCACATATGGTCTCTGTTGCATATTCTTTTTCTTTTAAAATAACTCTTTAAAGATGCAGAAAATATTTGTAGTTTAGGAGCCATATAAAAACAGGTCACATTTGCTGATCTTTGGTCTGAATTTAAGAAAATGATATTGAAAATGTTAGTAATGCAGATGAAACTTAAAAGTATGTTGTATCTATAGCTCTAACATTTGTGAGTGGCACAAAATTGAGCTATCTGATAAGTAAATATTCTTTTAGTACTTGAAAACTGTTCAAGTTACTGATTCAGGAGAGAAGTTACTCATACCAGTGACAAATGACTGATACTTTGACATGCCTTTATTGTTTCACTTTTGTCTTATTAACAGAAATGAAAATGAACATGATAATCATGTTGGAACTACATTTGTTCGTTAATGACATAAGCAATTTCTTGGTTGAGTCAGATGGTAATCAGGTATTTATTTGTGGTCTGAGATTAATATGCTCCTTTGTGGTCCTTGTGCAGTAGAATAGATTTATTGAAGTCTGTCCTTTTACTGAAGATGTAGTGCTTTAAGAGTCTTTCTCTTAGGAAGCTTGCCTTTCTTTAGGAAGCTGTCACTTGCACCTTGGACAGCCAGGGCTTCATTCATTTTTCATACTAGTGTGGCACCTAAACCCGAGCACCTTCTTATCAAGATCAACAACCCTTCCTCAAGAGAGCGATAGAGTCCATTTGTTCGTAACAGCTTTTGGCTCTTGCTTCTCTGTCTTTGCTTCCTCGGTATTATGCATATATTCTTGTAAACTCAGCTATACATTTTTAAATATTACTGCATTTTATTCAGTATTTTCTTGAAGAAGGTAGATTTTCAGATTTTGCTGGAAGTAGAAGGCATGATTAAACTATCTTTAGCATTTTAAAAGTGTGACAGAAAAGAATACTTGGCCTCGTACGTGTTGGATACCATCAGATTAGGAATCAGTTACCGATACATTGACCTTTATCTTCAAGTTAATTTTTTGTTTCGATCTTAGTAAAAAATTTCTCCAGAAATCGTAACTGAAGTGTGTTCTTAAATTACATATCAGTCAATTAAAAACCATCATATTTGCGACTACTTACCAGTGTAAGAATTTTCTCAATAATGTGTTATCAGGACAAAAAACCAAAAATACAGGAATTCTGAAACTGATATGATAAGATCCTTAACTTCAGTTTTTTGTTAATCAGTTCTCATTTTCACAAGCAAATACTCATTAAAAATAAAAATTACTACTATAAAATACTATTTTGTTTTACGTGTTGGTATTTCATATAATGTTTCATTTGAAAGAAGAGGTGCAGTTATTAGGCATTCTTTGGTTTTTAGTAATCTATTAGATTATTTGTTGAATACTTTTTTTTTAATGGTTTTATTTATTTTGGGGGGTGGGTGAGTGTGCGCATAAACATAGAAGGGGTAGAGAGAGAAGGAGAGAGAGAATCCCAAGCAGGCTCTGGCTGTAACACAGATCCCAACATGGGGCTCGATCTCACAAACTGTGAGATCATGACCTGAGCCGAAACCAAGAGTTGGAGGTTTAACTGACTGAGCCACCCACTTGCTCTTGTTAAGTACTTCCTAAATATCAGGCACTTTTTTAAGTTGGGGAATACAAAGGTGAACAAGCTAAATTATGCCCTTGGTGATCTCATAACTTGGTATTAAAATCTCATGAAACCAAAAATGCTTTTCAGTGCAGTGGGAGCAGTAGGTGTGGGCACAGTAGTCATCTGTGTCTGAGAGTAGAAAAGATTTCACTGAGTAATGAACATAGTTTTAAAGAATGAGTTCATTATATTGGTAAACTGGGGCCATCTCTTATGGATAGAAGAGTGAGGTAGGTAGTATGTTAAAGCACTCTAGCATGAAACAACATACTTTTGGGGGAAATGAATAATTATATAAAGAGAACCAGTGGTAAGGGATGTGTTTGAGATCTAGTATTTCTGGTGGGCAAGTCTTGCTGTATGAATTACAGGATGATTGACAAATGCAAATGTAGAACAGGTATATAAGTATACAAATTTGTTTTCAATATACCCAGATAGAATTAATCTTCCTCCTCTCTGTTCATATTAACTTTTATCCTTAATTTAAACAAAACCCATAACCCACTTTGGTAATTTAAATATGTTTTTGACTTCAAGCAGATTTTTGGTGGTCAGACTTATTTCTATAGTTAAATAGATATTTAGTGAATAATTTTTGAATTGTTTTTTTATTTTTAACATTAGAGAGGAAAAACTGCATTAGTGGCCTTGAAAATTTTTTTTATTACGAATATTCAAAGAAGTTGATCATTTGTCTATAGACCCAATGGCACATTATTTAATGGAAAATACCAAACTAAATAAATAAAAGGCAAAAGGCCAGGTTTCTATTTTAGCTCTGCCTCTAAGCTGTATAACCTTTGAAAATCACTTAACCTTTCCAAGTTTCAGTTCCCAGATCTGGAAAATCAAAGAACTGACTAAGTAATCCTCCAATGTTATTTTCAGCCTGTAATTTTATTATTCAGCTCTTGATAATTACTTGAATGTTAATTTTTTCCATAGCTTTTCATAATCTCAGAGTGTGAAAGGATTTCTCACTTCTGTTTCGAGACATCTGAATTATATTTTGATCTGTTAGCTATACACCTAAACCACCCAAAATGTAAGACTTCTTATGCTATGATTTTTAATGTCTTGACTTAAATATCTTACTTGTAGTGATAATAAATTATGTGATATACAGCTCTTTCAAGATAAATGATGTTTCATTTTCTGATACAGATATTGTTCACGAAAATCTAAAAATGGGATCAGATGGTGAGAGTGACCAAGCTTCTGGGACATCATCTGATGAAGTACAGTCACCTACGGGTGTTTGTCTTAGAAATCGTATACATAGACGGATCTCAATGGAGGTAACCATTTAAAGATAAAAATGTGCCTACATATGTGTGTTTGTGTGTATAAAAACATATACATCAAACACAGTAAATGCCTATTTAAAAATTTTCATGAAGGCAAATGACACTGTAAGAAAGTTTAGTATGGTCTTATGAATATTTCCTTTCTAAATTATATAGTATCCCAAGGCAAGTACACATTAATTATATTTAATATTCTGCAAAATACACGTAGGGTCTTTGTAAGGGAAATGCGAATTTTCAAAAATACTGGAAATTCAGAATGATACTTTAGCAGTTTTCTTTTTAGAAAATATGATTTTAATTATATTTTTGAGGTTCATCTGGATACTTAATACTTTATAAATATTTCAGATTTCAAAATGTATACATAAAATAAGCACCAGCTTTTTTCTTTTTTTCTTTTCCTTTTTTTTTTTTTTTTTTTGCTTTATAGCATAAATATGGGTATCATTTCTTTTATGGCTTATCATACCTTCTACTGTCTCAGAAATAATGGATTGTAGGGTACCATTTCTGTAGAACTCTGTTGTATACTTTTGCTTACAGTAAATATGTTTGCATTCAGATGTTATATATAATCAACATGGGTAACTTTGAAACTGTAATAAAACTTGACATTTATTTGTTAATAAATAGTACAGTAGAGCCTATGAATTCAAAAGTGAAAAGCCCTGTCTCTTCCATTTGTAATTATCTACAAACACCTTTTTTCCTTTTTTTTTTCTTTTTAAAGGATTTAAATAAACGGTTATCACTGCCTGCAGATATCAGAATACCTGATGGGTATCTTGAAAAGTTGCAGATAAACAGTCCACCATTTGATCAACCAATGAGCCGAAGGTCTCGTAGAGCTTCTTTAGTAAGTTTTTAGTCTCCTATACCTACATCATCCAATCTTCCTTCTTTAATTTTCTAGGTGTAAACATTTTACATTAATTTTTATATTTGATATTTGAATAACTAAATTTTATTAAATTTTCTTTTGAATATTATTGTTTTCCAATTCTTTAAGGGTCTAAAGATGCATATGGAATACAGTTTAAGCTATATTCTGTTTTGTTTTTAGAAAATTTTTTGTATATGCTAGATATACAGAATATGTATTAGATATATAAATATATATTGATATATACTAGAGATACAGAAAAGTACATAAACCATAATTACATAGCTCAATGTATTTTTGCCAAGTTAACATACCTGTGTAACCAGTACCTAGATCAATAAAAGAAAATTCCAGAAATCCCAGAAACCCCATCCTGCCCCTTCTCTGTTCACTTTCTCCTTCTGCTTCCTCAGCTGTAGCCACATTCCTTCCTTCTAATGCCAAAGATTAGGTTTACCCATGTTTCCTATATTATGCTCATAGTTATATTTTAATATCTCAAAAGCCTTTTTAAAATCCTCATTTATGTAAACATTCTTATTTTTAAAATGCTTTTATTTCTGATTATTCATATTTAAACTTTTGAACTTTTAATTATGACTATAAATTATTAAATTACATTCTATCCAAATGTATAAAAATGTATGCAAGTTTATATATATTTTACAGTACCCATGGAAAATATACAGTATGTATTCTTTTTTTGGTTGGCCACTTTTGCCCAGTGTTCTGTTCATGTTTTTATCTAGTTTGTTGTGTAGTTATAGTTCATTTGTTCTTTTTGTTGCCTGGCATTCCATTGTATACTATAGTTTATCTAACTTGATGGACAGTTAAACATTTGGGTTGTTTTTAGTTTTAGGTTATTACCAAATAATGGTTCTGTTATCATTCTTTACCTGTATTTTGGTTAGTACATGTAAGCATTTCTGTTGGGTGCATACTTAGGAGTGGAACTGTCAGATCTGATTGTATGCGTATGTTCAGCTATTTTTTTTTTTTTAAAGTTTGTTTATTTTTGAGAGAACGAGAACACAAGCGGGGAGGACAGAGACGGATAAGGAGAGAGAGAATCCCAAGCAGGCTCTGCAGTGACAGAGTGGAGCCTGACACAGAGTTTGATCCCACAAACCATGAGATCACAACTGGAGCTGAAATCAAGAGTCGGATGCTCAACCGACTGAGCCACCCAGGCTCCCCTTCAGCTTTCCTCAATACTGTTAAAAGAGTTTCCAAAGTGGTTGTACCAGTTTACACTCCCATCAGTATTTGATAATTTTGTTCTCCTTAGCCAATTTTTGATATGGTCTCTTTTTAAAATTTTTTTTTATTTTTCTGGTCAGTATGTAGTGTTAACTTTCTTGTGATTTTATTTTGTATTTCTCTGACGACTCAGCTGAACAGTTTTTAATGTTTATTGGCCATTTATGTATGCCTGCCTTTGTGATTTAACTGCTGAAGTCTGTCGTCTCCTTTCTTTTTTTTTTTTTATAAATGTTTTTTATTTGTTCTGAGAGAGAGAGACAGACAGACAGTGTGAGCAGGGGAGGGTCAGAAAGTGAGGGAGACACAGAATCTGAAACAGGCCCTAGGCTCTCAGCTGGCTGTCAGCAGAGCCCGACGTGGGACTCAAACCCATGAACCATGAGATCCTGACCTGAGCTGAAGTCGGACACTTAACCAACTGAGCCACCCAGGTGCCGCTGTCGTCTCCTTTCTTTTGGGTTTTCTGCCTTCTTTTTAAATTGATTTATAGAAATTCTTTATACATTCTTTATAAAGAATCTTTATGAGTTATGTCTTGCAAATGTCTTCCAGGATGTAGCAATTGACCCTTTCAATAGCCACTGCTTTCTGAAAGGTCAGCTTTCCCTATTGCAGGGTCAACTTTGACACAAGTTCAGTTACATTGTATATGTAAGGATCTCTTTTTATGGTTATAGTCTGGTTATAGTGCTATAGTAGAGGTACATATAAAATGCTGTGGGACCAAAAAAAAAACGAGTAAAATTGGATGCTTGAGCTGGCTCTAGAAGGATGAGTAGGAATTTGTCAGATTGACTTGGTAGAAGGATGTTTTAGTTTTTTTTGTGAGGGGGGTTTATTTTGAAAAAGAACATTTTTAGGAGGGGCAGAGAAAGAGAATCCCAAGCAGGCCCTGCACCAAGTGTAGAGTTTGAGGCGGGGCTGTATTTCATGTAGCGTGAGATCATGACCTGAGTCAAAATCAAGAGTCAGACACTTAACACACACTGAGCCACCCAAACACCCTGGTAGAAGAATATTTTCAGCAGAGGAAATTTGATATACTAAAACCCCCAAGTATGAATGTAGGTATGTTGGGAAATTGTAATGGTTATGAAGGGCATATGTGGGATAATATTAAAAAATAGGGCTTGAAAGGATAGGGTATATCCAGACTGTACAAAGCTTTGGCTGTTAGGCCAAATACGGAGCCTGAACTTCATTCATCTCATTTAATGGACCTCAGTGGTACTGATTTAAACAAGGGCTGCCATAATCACATTTTTGTTTCTTAAAGTGGCTTCAGGAAAAGTGTAAACAATGTAGAAGGAGAGAAAAACTAAGAGGCAGGATAATGAATTAGGAATTTATTCAAAATTAGGGATGATGTGGCAGTCCCATAGAAATGGGAAGTAGAACCCAGATCCTAGGGACCACATAGAGATAAAATTAGGCAGGAGCTCCGGTATTCAGCTGAACTTTGTGTTTGAAGAAGGAGCAATTGATTAGGATTTCTGGGTTACTAGCAGTTGTTATTCCCCTTTTTATATATTATATCATGGAATTTTTTATCCACCAAAACCTTCTCTTTTGGTTACATTTCTAAAGAATAAAATTACTTTAGACTATATATAATATAAGCATATTGTTACTTGACATTCATTCATTAATATATAATAAAAGTAAAAAATATAGTGCCAACTTGATTTTGGTACAGGTTTAGGATCGTAGTTTTGCATCACTTTTTAAGCCATTTTTATTTAAATAGCTTTGCCATTTGGTTACCTGATTGAAAGTGTTCTTTCAAAGGTTAATTTTTATCAAAAGATTAGTACTTAGGATAAATTTTGGAGTTATCAAATGTTCACATTTAGACTAAAGGTATGATTTAATCACAATGTGATTCTTAAAGCTATTCTTTAAGGGCTTTTTCAGTATAAATGAAATTAAGGAAAACAGTGCCCTCTAATGAATGTTAAGTCATGGGATTTTTATTACGGTTGAGTGTTCTACTCATCTTCCTTGGTTTTTAATGTAAAATGGCTAATAGATTTCAATTAATCATGCCAGCTCTGTTTGATTTCTACTAATGCATCCTTTACATTATTCATCTACCTTACTAAAGAATGATTTCTTTTGAAGTATATTAGAAAATTATTCTTTGGTACCCTAGATTTATGTGTAAAAGGGAATGGTTAGGGAACGGATGGAAAGGAGATGGGTAAAGAAAGCTATACTTGACATCTTGTAGAGCTCATATTTCCATGGATAATATACTCTTTAAAAAATATATTTTCAAGATAAAATATAAATTTTAACCTTCTCTTTCTAAAAGTATAAAAGTTTGTTTTCTTATATTCAATAGCAATGCATAACAAATAGAGTAGTAAAAATAACAGAAATCCTCGTTTGAGTAGGAATTAAGGACCAAATCACAATTCATTTCTGAAGAGAGACATACAGTAGGGCTAATTGGTCCTTTAAATTCATGATCATCAGTCTCAGATGAACCTTCAGTATTGTTTGGCTACTCTATTTGGTCTTTCTCTGGTTTACCCTTCCCCTCTCTACCCAGATGATTTCTCTTCCTACGTGATAAAGATGAGAGAAGTCATCAGAAACCTCCTCATTTTTTGAACAAGTGTGAAAATCGGTCTATACCTATACTCATTCTACTCTTTCCTTATTTTATTTATTTTTTCCCCTAAATTTTTTAAAAAATAGCTTATTGTCAAGTTGGTTTCCATATAACACCCAGTGCTCATCCCCCAAGTGCCCTCCTCCATACCCATCACCCCCATCCCCTCCCCCCACCCCATTTGCCCTCAGTTTGTTCTTGGCATTCAAGAGTCTCTCATGGTTTTAATATAGAGGAATTGTCCTTCTTATCCCATCTCCTCAGGATGCTTTAGAATATTTATAATTGCTGAGGCACCTAGGTAGCTCACTCGGTTGAGCATATGACTCTTGATTTCGGCATAGTCATGATCCCAGGGTTGTGGGATCAAGCCCTGTGTCAGGTTCTGTGCCGAGCATGGAGTCTGCTTACTATTCTTTCTCTTTCCTTCTGCCCTCCTCCTTGCTCATCCTCTCTCTCTCTTAAAAAAAAAAAAAAAAAAAATTGTCATCTGTATATACATATATTCAGTCTCTTTTAACTGAATTCTTCCTATTTTTATTTTAGAATAGTTTTAGATTTACAGAAAAACTTAATATAAAAAATTCCCATGCACCACATACACAGTTACCACTATTATTAACATTTTCCATTATTGTAGTGTGTTTGTCACAACCAAGGAAACCAACATTTGGTACATTACTATTAACTCCACACTATTCATATTTCCCCAGTTTTCTACAAATGTCCTTTTTTTTTTTTTTTTTTGGTTCCAGTATTCTATCTAGAACATCACATTACATTTAGTTGTCATATGTCATATTAAAGATATTGGTTATTGGATTGGTGAAGTGCTACTTAATACTTATTTATGATTTATTAGAAATGGATGTTCTAACTCAACATATTTCATTAAACATTAGATTAGAAGAAATCCCATATGCCAATAATCATGATTCATTATAGCATTGATGTACTTAGAATGATAGAATGATGGCATGTCCCATAGAAATTTGTGAGACTGTTATGTGCAGCTTTAGTAGAAAGTCTGTATATGAAAATTGGCCTCATTATATTGAAATTGTAGGCATTACACATTTACATAATCTGCTTGTTCCTAACAGTGTGTTGGATTCCTCATTCATGGGTTTAGCAGTATACGTCTTATATGGTCTTTTCTTTTTAATTTCTAATAGTAGGTAGAGAAATAGGGTATCAAGTCCTGATGTCTCCAGAAATATAAATATATTATGAAGTGTGGAAGTTAGGCTCAAAGTCCACTAAAAATTTAACTTACCTTTGGCATATTATGTACCAAATTAAGATATCATACTGATGGTAACAGCAGTTTTTGTAAGAAAACTACCAACTAGAATAGAGGTTCTCAGTCTCTTCTGCCCTCCACGTTTCTGTCAGTAACATCAACTCTGTAATTATTACAAGGTGGGAAATGGGTATTTGAAAAAATCTCCCTTTGTCCCCAGTGTTTCTTGCATATATGTTCACTTTTAGGATGGCATCTTTAAAACTTTTGCATATACTTCACTTGTTTTTTAGTTCAGACTGTATTGCTAGCATGTTAATGCATCTTGAGAAGGGCACTTTTGATGAGCAGTGGGTGTTATATGTAAATGATGAATCACTGAAATCTACTCCTGAAACCAACATTACAGTATATGTTAACTAACTAAAATTTAAATAAAAACTTGAAGTAAAAAAAAAAAGACAATTTTATAACTGTGATACAGTGATTATATTAGCAGAGCCAGAGTAATCCAGAAATCTCCTGTAATGCTCAAATATCACGTCCAGGTATTTATATTTTATTAAAATATGAAACTTACTGTTCCATTTCTTTAGCTTTTTTTTTTTTTTTTTTTTAACAAAACTTTAAAAATAATCTAATGATGGAACTCAAGTCTGGATTGTGAATCCATGAAAGCAGGAATCATATTTGTTGTCTTCACTATATTCCCAGTACCTAGCATTGTACTTGGTAAATGTTGAATAAATGAGCTTTGTCCTCTGTCCTCTGAATAATTTCTGTAGGAGAGCATGTCAACAAGCTAGTCATTATTTCTATTGTTAATCTTGTCATGTTCAGCAGATAAAAATGCAAGCAAAATTTTCTAAAAATTCCATTTAAAGATTCAGTAAGTAATATTTAGATGTAATTAATAAAGCCTTGGTTGGAAATTATTAAAATGGGAGGTGAGATAAAAAAAACTCCTAGTATAGCCCACTAGTATAACTGTGCCTTTTGTCTGAATTTTCTGCCAGCCTGCATGATGAAATTCAGTAATGCTCTTTATCTTATAGATTATTCAAATTTAAATTCAACTTCATAACATAATTATAGTCTAGTATTTACCTCCTTTTTAAAAAGCAGACTTTCAGCTAATGTTAATTTCACTGAATGTCATTCTTTGATAAATGTCTTTGTTATATTAATATTTGGTCCTCTCAGTTTATTTCTTATATACTTTATATGCTGTAGTAATTTGTAACATTTTTATTTTTACAGTCTTGAATTCGTAGTCCACTTAAATACTTTTTAAAGTAAATGTCAATGAGAAAGAATGAAATCTGGCCATTTGAAGCCACGTGGATGGAACTTGAGAGTGTTATGCTGAGCGAAATAAGGCAGAGAAGGACAGATCCATATGTTTTCACGTATAGGTGGATCAGGAGGAACTTAACGGAGGACCATGGGGGAGGAGAAGGGGAAAAACAGTTGGGGAGAGGGAGGCAAACCACGAGAGACTCTTGAATACTGAGAACACACTGAGGGCTGATGGGAGTGGGGGAGAGGGGAAGAGGGGTGATGGGCATGGAGGAGGGCACTTGTGGTGATGAGCACTGGGTGTTATGTAGACACCAACTTGACAATAAACTATTTAAGAAAAAAGAAAAAAAATAAAGCAAATGCCAGCATTTTTGTCATAGCCACTGGACCATTGGACCAAAGTGTATTTGATGTTTTAAGGGAATGCTAGTATTTTAATGTAAAAGAATGAATAAAAATATTTCCCACCTCCTGACAGGAAACTGTTTCTAGCTTGCAGTCCTATTTTTCTTTGTGGTTTTCATTATTAGAGATGGTATTTTTATTTTTCTCAGGGACATTCATTGTTTTATTTATGTTGGTTTCCATTATCAATATGTTTTTTCCCCTTTGTTAAAGATATGACACAAGATTTAAAATTCCTGGCAAAAGTGAAGTAGTTCTTTATTTGTGAGTGTAATGAATTCTAGAGATAGGTCTAAGAAAGGAAATATATTCGACCATAGTTTATGTGACCCTGGCAATTAGCATTTTTTCATAGTTGTAAGATGAAATCTAAATAGACTATAAATAAAACATACTTATGCTAAGAGATTATTTAGGATCAGGCTCACATGTACCAGATAGTGGGCTATTTGCCGCATTTTCTCTTTTAAGGCTAAAAACTGTATTTGTATTTGGAAAGCTACATTATTTATTCTGCATAGTTATTGATAATAGAAAGCAAGGACTGAATATCTGAGTTATGTGTAAGACAATACATGCATGGGATGGTATGTGATGGTTCCAGAATCTCATTTTTTAAAAAAAAATTTTTTTTGAAAATATGTTAAAATTTTTTTTAAAAAATTTTTATAGTTTATTTTTGAGACAGAGACAGAGCATGAGTGGAGGAGGGGCAGAGAGAGAGGGAGACAGAATCTGAAACAGGCTCCAGGCTCCGAGCTGTCAGAATAGAGCCTGATGCAGAGCTCGAGCCACGAACTGTGAAATCTGACCTGAGCTGAGGTCACACGCTTAACCCACTGAGCCACCCAGGCACCCCCATTAAAATTCTTAAAGAGTGCAAAAAGAAATTTTGCAGTCATCCATTAATACCACTTGTGACCTAGGTTTTTATTAGTTTAGCAAAATTGAATTAATTACTATTGGACATAAAGTTTTTCTAGTCTTTTAACTTTATATAAATCATAACAAAAGGATAAAAACAATGTTAATGTTATTGTTTTAAAAAACAGTAAAATTTTTTAAAATGATAAAAAATCTCTTTGAGAGACCTCTGTTAATTTTGGTCTTTCACCTTTGGGCAGTGTATTCCTACTGTTCAAAATGGTAAGTGATGTTAAGTCAAACCATCAAGTATCATTTTTGTTTTATTCAACACCTCTGGAAAAATTACATATTTGAACTTTCAGAGTTGGACTGAATATTTCCTTTCACTGGCTACTTATTTAACGGCATTAGTACCAGCCTAGGTGAGAAGGAAATCTTTAGATTATTACTTTTTCACTAATTAAAAAGAGTACTAGAAAGCAATTTTAAGAAAATTCTTATTCTCTATTGTTAACTTTTCTGTTTCTGTTGTGTCAGTCCCTGAATTTTCATCTTTGTGTTCTTTTTTCTTGTGTTGGGTTTGTTTTGTTTTGCTTTTAAATATTAAGTTTCCATTACATATTTGGGGATATTCCATCTGCCTCATTGATTGACTCTATACAACATTGAGACAAACGGGTTCAGGGTTTAAAAGCAATGGTTTAAAATGGCTTAAAAGAACTCACTTTTAAAGACTTTTAGGGGACTGTGGAGTATCAGATTTAGACTTACTGCTTCTGGGTGTTTCATGATCCGTAATGGAGTGTGGCTTGCAGTTTGCCTTTTTCATTACATTTTGGTTAGAAAACCTGAAATAAATAGTATTTTGTTGTTTGCATGCCTTCCTAGGGACCTTGAAGATTGATGAGTGAAAATGTATCAGAAAATTACTTATTTTGCAATCTTGTTAAAAAAAATCATGTAGTTGCTTTTATAAAAATCTTAGTATCTTAAAATGCCTGTGCTATCTTAAAATCTCAGGGTCTTAAAACAAAACTTTTTCATAGCAGAATGTTAACCAATCTATATAGAAAAAATGGTTTGGCAGTTTTAATTGTGAACTTTGGGGGTGCCTGGGTGTCTCAGGCAGTTGAGTGTCCGACTTACCCTCAGGTCATGATATCAGGGTTCATAAATTCGAGCCTCACATCAGGCTCTGTGCTGACGGCTCAGAGCCTGGAGCCTGCTTCAAATTCTGTGTCTTCCTCTCTGCCCCTACCCAACTCATGCTATGTCTCTCTCTTTCTCAAAAACAAACATTAAAGAAAATTTTTTTTAATAAAAAATAAAAATTTAAAAATAATTGTGAATTTTGATGTTTTTGAACTTTTGAATGTTCCAGCATCAGGTATATTTTAAAATTTGACAGATGTCCAACAATTTAATTATAATTGATTTTTTCTATTTTAAGACACTCTTTAGAGCAGGAAAGTTTCAGAAATTAAGGAAGAAGGGTTCCAGGTTCGCTCAGTGCTAGAGCATGTGACTCTTGATCTTGGGGTCGTGAGTTCAAGCCCATGTTCGGTGTGGAGCTTACCTTAAAAAATAAAGTATACTTCTAAAAAAATAATATTTATAAAAAAGATACTGAGGAAGAAATGAATTGAAATTTTAAGAATACTAAGTTTATAATTGTTTGTTTTCAGTCAGAAATTGGGTTTGGAAAAATGGAAACCTATATCAAATTGGAAAAACTTGGAGAGGTAAGTAAATACTTATCTCAAAAATATAAGACATGTTCATTATCAAACTCCACAATCAGTCCACAGTTTTTACCAACCTAGTAAAAAAAAGATTTAAACACTATTGTCTAAAAGATTGTATGTTGTACTGAAAGGCAACTGAATTTTAGAAGGAAAAAAAACCTTGCATTCTTGAAATTATACCATCAGTTTGAGAGGAAATGAGTATTTTTTATAGCTTGTAATTTTCTATTGCAGCATAAAATATTGTGCTTTCTTGGTAACAATAACCATCTATTTGTTAGCAGTCTGCTCTCTGTGCTGTCATGTGGGAAATTGCATGAGTTCAGACCTGTGAAAAATCAAAATATTATCTCTAAAGATGAAGACACATGTCATTGAAGGTTATGGAAATTTTTGGCTGATAAGACTTTGGTTTTCTTGAACTTGGTACTAGTATTGACTAATTTTGAAGTGGTCTTCCTCTCAGAGGGAGAAAGGACAAGGCAGAAGTAATGGAATTAGCTAATCAGGAAGCCTTAAGAGAGTTTGAGGACTATGATAGAAGAAATCTGTAGAATATAGTTGTTGATTAAGAGAGATGGAATGTACAAAAATTCTGATAAGTCTGAGAACTGATAAAATTTTTCTCATGTGGCAGGGCGCCTGGGTGGCTTAGTCGGTTAAGCGTCCGACTTTTGCTTGGGTCATGATCTCGCGGTTCGTGGGTTCCAGCCCCGTGTCGGGCTCTGTGCTGACTACCAGCTCAGAGCCTGGAGCCTGTTTCGGTCTGTGACTCCCTCTCTCTCTGACCCTCCCCTGCTCACGCTGTCTCTCTCTCTCTCCTAGAAATAAATAAAACATTAAAAAAAATTTTTTTTCTCATGTAGCAATATGTTAGTACATTTTCAATTTTCAGTTAATATGCTCAGTTAATTGCCTCCAAGTTCACATACCATTGCATGTAAAGTGCCTTGGATTCTGAAGCTATTGATCCAGTTGTTAATCTATACGAAGTACAAAAACTAAGTTAAATATTCTCCCTGTGTTTTCATACATTGAGGGACTCCATAGGGCCATAGGAATATAGAGACTGCATGTTATAGTGAAAGTCCTCTTAGCTGTAAAAAAAACTAATACTAATCATTATAGAGTTTTCCTTACAAAATGGACTTTAACGTACACTTCTAAATTAGGAATTCGTTAGGGCTCTTTATAGATTCTATAGGTAGATTCTTATGATATTTTGATGTGTCACATTGTGATATGATATTTTATAGGGTACATATGCAACAGTATATAAAGGAAGAAGTAAATTGACAGAGAATTTGGTGGCATTAAAAGAGATCCGGTTGGAACATGAAGAAGGTGCACCTTGCACAGCTATAAGAGAAGGTAAAATTTGATCTTTATGAACAAAATGGATAAGAGAGTTTATATAGAATTTACATAGGTTTAAAACCAAAGTTTTATACTAAGAGTTTATTCTTTATAAGTAAAAAGAGCTCAGATATAGAAATAGTAGATGACTGGGAGATGTATTTAGACCTTAAAACTGGTATTTAATTAAGGCAAATTATTTAACATAATTATATTGTGTAGCTCATAGTGAAATACTATGAAGTCATTAATTATTGTCATAGGTAAATATTTGACATTGGGAAATCACATATATTGTCTATGGGAAAAAAGCAATTATGAAATAGTATATACCGAATGTAATAGTATGATACTTTTTTTTTTTTTTTAAGGTTAATTATCCAGGGTTGCCTGGGTGGGTCGGTTAAGCTTCCAACTCTTGGTTTCAGCTCAGGTCATGATCTCATCGTTCGTGAGGTTGAGCCCTGTGTCATGCTCTGCACTTATAGCATGGAGCCTGCTTGGGATTCTTTCTCCATCTCTCTACCTCTCCCCTGCTCATGTGCATGGGTGCTCTCTCTCTCTCTTTCTCTCTCTCGCTCTCGCTCTCTCGCTCTCTCTAAAGAAATAAACATTAAAAGAAAAAAAAGTGAAAAATTCTGTATCTTTAAAAAAAAAAAAAAAGAATAAAAAGATTATCCAGAAAATGCTTGAGGAAACTGATTAGCAATTTGGAAGGAAAAAAATTGGTACTTTCAACTATATCTAAATCTTAGAAGTCTCAGTAACTTGGTATTTGAGAAAAAACAGATGTTATGGAGAATATTATTGTAACATAGGGGACAATTGTCTGGCTACCACAGACTGAATAATTGACTTTCTTTTCTGTTTTGCAGTTTCACTATTAAAGGATCTAAAACATGCAAATATAGTAACCTTACATGACATTGTTCATACAGATAAATCTTTGACTCTGGTATTTGAATATCTGGTAAGAAATTTAACAAAAATTAGTATGTTTTTGCTATACTAAAACATAGGAAATTGAGTTTTTAACAGCTCCAGGGCATTATTGCTTAGTTATCAGTATTTAATTAAATTATGTGTTGTATATTCAATGTCTTTCCTCAAAAAACAAACAAACAACACTTAAAAATTAAATACTACTAAGTAAATCATTCCTGCCTCTGGGAAGTATGTGTCACTTAGTAAAATACTGTATTTTTTCAGGATAAAGATCTAAAACAGTACATGGATGACTGTGGAAACATCATGAGTATGCACAATGTAAAGGTATGTTTTAGTGTGTCATTTTAAGTTTTGTTTAAATAGTCCTTATATTTTCCAAACATAGAAACTAACAGGAATATATAGAAACCATAATTTTAGGGTTTTCAAAACATAAATATGTAGTGTGTGGAGACTGCTGCTTAGAACTTCTTTAGGCTTGTTGTTCCCCTCCTGTGCTGACTTATCCTTAATGTTCTAATACTATGTTTTCCACCTACAAGTAAACCGAGGGTATATTCTTAGATCCTCTGTACTTGAGGCTCTTTTTTGTCAACTCCATAGAATCGAAGACCTTCTGTGTTCTACATCCCTTTTTCCACCAAAATCTAGGAATTGCTTTTTTCAGAGAGTCATTCAGAGCTCTACTGTGCTAATTTCCTTTTCTGAATCATAGCAGATTTTGAAGGCTGAGTAGGAGGTGCAGAAAGTAAAGTACCCAGAGGGTGGGTGATAGAAGCTGGTTTAGGTTATTTTTATAGCGTGTAATCTGCCAGGGCTGTTTGGCACCATCCTCTTTGACACCTCAGAATTTTTATAAAACCACCAGTTCCATTCCCTTATTGAAAAGACACTGTCCCAGATCAGGTATTTTTGGTGGGTGGGGTAGAGGTTGGTTAGTTGTTTTGCCAGAATATCATAATCAAACTGCAAGCCATAGTAGGCCTGTAAGATTATGAGGGTATATTTTATATTATTTTAAATCATTTTCTATAACAAATGGACTTTTACTATAGGAACAAAGCTTCACTTTGTTTTTAATATTTATTTTCATAGAAATTGTCAGACTGGAAAATAGATGCTTCAAATAGAATAATAAATTATAAAATTCAGAAAAGTATATAACGAAAGGCTTTGTACTTAAGGATGCATTTTTTTTCTTTGACTATTATAGGCCTGTTTTTTGTTTACCATAGCATGCTTACCAAAGTATATCTTATCATTTATTTGTAAGATTAATTTCTGTTTATTTGTTTCTGTAGCTGTTTTTGTACCAAATTCTACGTGGTTTGGCATATTGCCACAGAAGAAAGGTATTGCACCGAGACTTGAAACCACAGAACCTTCTGATTAATGAAAAAGGAGAATTAAAGCTAGCAGATTTTGGTATGGAATGTATGAGATATTTATAAATAGTTCCAGGTGGTTAAGTTTATATGAACAGCTGTTGACATTGTGTGATTGCATTTATGTGAGTTTGGAAATTTTCTCTGTAGCCCATGGAATAAACTATTTGACAGAACTTAGGTAGGTGAGTTATGTTCACGAATGCTAAAAGGCCTCTGTTCTCAGATGTGGACCCGTCGTCCTGAGACCCTTCTAGGGCATATATCCAAAGGTATCTGTCATCAAAACTACATGTTTACTTGCCTTTTCCACTGTGTCAGTATTTGCAGTGATAATCCAAAAGCAATAAGGAGTGGAGCTGCTAATGTCTTATTTTAAATAAAGGCAGTGGCACCTAATTGTACTTACTAGTCATTGTGTTCTTCACCAGTATACATTTGTAGGAAAAAAGTGTGCTTTCCATATAAAAAGGTATTTGATGAAGCACTAAAATTTATTAATTTTATTAAACCTCCAGCTTTACATGTCTTTTTAGTATTTTATGTGATGAAATGAGAAGTATACATAAATGTACACGGAAATACTCTGTCTCAAGGAATAGTACTTGTGTGACTATCTGAGTTCAAACTGAACTAACCCGTTTTTTCAAGGAACGTCATTTTTACTTTGTCAGTATGGGTGCTCAGACTTAGATATATTTGGCAGACATTTTCTTGGAAATGAAGTGAACCTATCATTTCAAGGAAAACAACATATTTCTTGCCAGTAGGAAGGTTTGAGTTTTCAAGCAAACATTAGATTTTGGAAATTTGGACCTGCCACATTGAGCTTGATACTTTTCCTGATATTTAAAAACTTTACTGGTGATGAGATCAGTGGTGATATTAACAAATATGAGGGTTTTTTTTTTTTTTTTGATGTGCTAAAAGAAATATGTAAACATTTGGAATATCTGTAAAACCTAAGGAATCAATATATTCCAGATGACTTGTATTTATATATTATACAGTCATGCCTGGGTAAAAGATCCAGTGAGAGTGGAAGACAGACCAATGAATTTTAATGTAACCAGAGTATGAGAAGTTTACTCATATAATTTCAGTTACCATCTAATCTTTAAGAAACTAAATCTGATTCAGTATTCAAGAAGAATATGCACAGAAAGGCTTTTTAAATGTTTTTCCTCTTTCCAGCTTTATTTCTGTATGAGATCTGCTTCTCTTCATATACTTCAAACAAAGCAACATATCACAACAGATTGAATGTAAAAGCAGATGTGAGGATCTAAGAGTCTTCTTTTAAAATAGACTACAAAAATATAAAACAAGGCCATTTGTACTAATTTTTATTTTCCTGTAGAAAAAATCTTTTTCATAGAAAATTTATGTTAATATGTAATGAATGGTGTTGTTAAATGAGTAAGTTTTAAATTTTTCTCCGTTTTTCTAAAATGGCAAATGTCAATAATCTATATAAATAAAAGGTCTTTGCATCTTCACTAATTTTAAATTATAATGAAAGGAGTCCTGAGACTAAAGAGTCTAAAAGCCACTACCAAAAAGGGGTTCTTTAATATGTCTGTCACCATGATTTTGAATTTATTTATATGCTTATTAACTAATTAATGCTTAAATAATAGCTGTTTGTCTCGCTCTGTTTAGCTAATCCAGTTTTAATGAAACTACATATTCTTTTTGCTTCGAAGAAGTAAACTTTGTTATATTAAAGAAATTTTGTATAGTAGCTTTATTTTTTATTATTATTTTTTGATATTCTACATTTTGAGAGTTTCTGTACTCTTGGTTTTGAAAATCCAGTGCAGGGTCGCCGGAGTGGCTCTGCTAGGTAGGCATCTGACTTCGGCTCAGGTCATGATCTTACAGTTAGTGAGTGTGAGCCCCACGTCAGGCTCTGTGCTGACAGTTCAGAGCCTAGAGCCTGGAGCCTGCTTCCGATTCAGTGTCTCCCTCTCTTTCTGCCCATCCCCTACTTGTGCTCTATCTCTCTAAAAAAGAAATAAACATTAAAAACTTTTTTTCTTTAAATAATAAAAAGCTAGTGCAGTTTTCACAATTAACATTTATCATTTTTCATAAGTGATTATAGTTTACTTTTGGAGTATTGGATTAAATTTGGCAATTTTAAGTCTTTCAAGTATTGCTTTGTTAACAATAGATTAAAAATTAAGTGGTGAGTTCAGGAAATGCCTATGCTTTTCCTCATTTAACACTTTACTGTTTGTTTGAAAGTAGTTGATATTTATTTTTCCTTCCTTAAAAAGGAAATGGGTAGGTCACATGTATTTAACAAGAAATTACAAGATATTTGCATATGCTCACATAGGTTGTATAGTCTTGGTCACAGTTTTGTTGTTGCGTTCCTTATAATTATTTTCTCTGTCTTTCATCCTGTCTTTTTTTTGGCCAAAGTGCATTTACTGCTCCTTGTTCTTTAATCTCAAAATGAACAGCAGTGATAGAGAAACCCTGATTGGCTATTATAAATGCAAGAAAAAAGGCAAGGGCCATAAAAATTTACTTTTTTGGAAGAGTGCTTTAAATTTTGCTTCTGACCAAGCAGACCAAGCAAATTTTATCTTTTCACAGACCAACAAGAAATTCTGATTATTCCATGAGTTCATACAATCCATTTTGTCTCTGCTTTTAGTTATTTATTTTTTATTGGTTGAGTAGTAAATATACTTAAGGACATCAAGTAAAGGAGGGTCATATAACTTTGAGTATTGTTTTGGTTTTGGTTTTTTGTTAAAAAAATTTTTTTTTAATGTTTATTATTTTTGAGAGAGCAAGCAAGCATGAGCAGAGAGGGGCAGAGAGCGAAAGGGAGACACAGAATCTAAAACAGGCTCCAGGCTCTGAGCCATCAGCACAGAGCCCACTCGAACTCTGGAATGGCGAGATCAGGACCTGAGCCAAAGTCAGATGGATGCTTTAACCAACTGATCCACCCAGGAGCCCCGAGAATTGTTTTGTAAATTGTTTGTGATCTCTGTGAAAATTCTATCCTTTTTCCTGTGATGGATGAAATTCAGATCGAGGAAGTACTAATAGAGACAAACATTTCATTTGTAGTAGAAAATGACTTGTATAATTATACCATATCACAGTTAATTTGGTTTGGAAGAGATTATTTTGTTTCTTGCTGGTACTGAAATTCTAATTGTGAACCAGGAGACTATTTGAACAAGTACCATAGTTCAGAATTCTCTCAGGAACAGGAGAGTAAGGTATTGAGGAAACTATAACTTGCAGTTGCTTTGATGCTATATATACAGATGTAGAATAAACAAACTTGTAGCCCTGTCCTTTGCCCCTAAATAACCCACTATGAATATCAGAAAGAGAAGTTAGAAAGTTGCCCCCATCTTGCTAATTAGAAAGTTGGTAGGAAAGTAATTTGTTGAACTTACTTTACCAAGTTGGGTTGGCAGAGTAAGACTTGTAATTAAATAAGATAATGTCAACATTGATCCAGTTACACCCTGTAGCTGTTATACTAAACAAAAATAGTTTGAGTGCTGCTTAATTATTAAAATTTGTATTTTTATTTGACTTTGTCCAGTTTTATGAAGTATTGAATTCCTTTTGTGTCATTTTTCTTATTTAATGTTTCAATAAAATATATAAAGTTATACATAAAGAAATGAGTTATTTGAAATAAACTATATGTTAGAATAAATTTATATTTCTTTTCGTATCTATTAAAGTTGCTTCTTAAAGTGATTAGAATTTGGAGGCTTAAGAGTAGTTTTTACAACTCTCATGCCAATAGCTCAAGAGATAAAGTTGTGAACTCTTGCCTTTGTTTCTAGATAATCAGTGAATTCCACTTTAAATTGGCAAAGGAATGGCATTTACATTAATAATTAATAAATTAATAATATCCAAAGGCAGCGTGGTCCATGTTACTTACAATTATCCTTATATATAACTTAAGGTACACAGCAGCAGTGTAATTTATTCCAAGAAAAGTAAAGTTGGTACAGCCAATGAAAATTGGACTCGGGTTTAAAAAAGTAACAAAAGCCTATAGCTATAAAAGGTAAAATTGTTTATCTCTGTGTCATTGACCTGTTTTGCTTTAATTTCCAGTTAATTTTGGAAATAATTTTGGCATCATGAATCATAGAAGTAAAGTATCTTAAGTTTAGATTAACCCAGGCATTGTATCAAATGCATTCACATGCATAAAAGTAAGCATAGGCTCTGATTGTGGAATTGTTACTACTTAATTACATAAGGATTTGCTGACCCAAGACCATTCATACTCAAGAAAAATTCATAAAACTGATTTTGTTAAACTTGAGGAAACTACAGAGTACAGCTATCTTGGGCATGCTTGTGACTGGAGTCATGTTGAGGATATGGGCTGGGGAATCTGTGATAGTCAGTTCTTAATTGTTTTCTTTTCCCTTTGAAGGGCTAGCCAGAGCCAAGTCGGTTCCCACAAAGACCTACTCAAATGAAGTCGTTACACTGTGGTACCGGCCACCTGATGTGCTTCTTGGTTCCTCAGAGTACTCAACACAGATTGACATGTGGTAAATATATGCACATGTTATTGCCATTTATAACCTTGAAAGAATATAGCTGTTAGCCTAGGGCATACTGGTAGATATCTGACTTTTAAGACGATATTATTTTAAAGAGCCACAATATAAGAATAAGCGTTCTGACACATGAAGGGCGCCTGGGTGACTCAGTCAGTTAAGCATCTGACTCTTGATTTCAGCTCAGGTCATGATTTCATGATTTGTGGGATCAAGCCCAGCATTGGGCTCTGCCCTGACATCATACAGCCTACTTGGGATTCTCTCTCTCCCTCTCTCTCTGCCCCTGCTCCACTTACACTTTCAAAATAAATAAATAAACAAACAACAACAAAAAAAGAGTTCTGACATATGAGTAAGATCACCTAGGTTTAAATACCACTTCTCCCACTTGAAACTATATAATAACCTTATTCAAATTACTGACCTCAGATGAAAGGAGAATAGTAACAATAACTACTTTAAAAGGCTGTTCTGTGGATAATGTTAAGACTATTGAGTGAATACATATAAAGCACTTAGAAGAGTGTTAAGTACATAGCAGATTAAAACAAAAGTATTCACATCATCATTTAATATTCATCAAAATCCACTTGGCCTTAAGTTGATCTAAAAGTAATAAAATAGTGTAGCCATCTTCCTCATATCCCACTTTGATCAATACGTTCCTTTACTCAAATACCTTTGCTGCTTCCCCTTTCATTACCTACGGAACAAGGTACAATTCTTCAATCTGATACTTCATGATCTCTATAAAATATCTCTAAACTATCTTTTCCAACTTACTTCAGACTGTTCCTCTATATAAATGTTCCCTTTTAGCAAAATGGACTACTCACTATATCTCAACAATAACCTGGGCTTTCCTAACTTTGTTCTTGTGGTCCAACCAGTCCACCTGCCTGGAATGACTACTCTGCTTCTCTGTGCCTAGGAACCTTCAGAACATAGCTTTTCATAAATCTTGAATACAACCTAGCCTCCAGTGATAGTTCCTTCCTCTGAAATGTGGTAACATTTATTGCCTATATCATGTAATGATAAATCATATACATGGGTTGAACAATTCTACATAATTTTTTGTATAACATTTAAAAAATTTTTTAACATTGTGTTAAAATATACATAATGTAAAATTTACAGTTTTAACCAGTTTTAAATGTATGGGTCTTTGGCATTAAGTACACTCATATTGTTGTGCAACCTTCACCACTCCAGAATGTTTTTCATCTTGCAAAACTTAGCTTCCATACCAATTAGACAACTGTCCGTTTCCTCCTCCTTCCAGCTCCTGGCAACCACCATTCTACTTTCTGTCCCCCTTGAAATTGACATGTCTAAGCACCTCATATAAGTAGAATCACAGTATTTGTCCTTTTGTGACGGGCTTATTGCACATAGCATAAATGTCTTCAAGTGTCATCCATGTTGTAGAGCTACTTGACTTAATTTTATGTGTCAGAATTTCTTTCATTTTTAAGATTGAATACTCATTGTATGTGCATACTACATTTTGTTTATCCATTTGTCAGGGACATTGGGCTATTTCTGCCTTTTGGGTCTTGTGAGTAATGCTGCTGTGGGTATGGCAAATATATCTTTGATTCTGTGCTTTCCGTTCTTTTGGGGATTTGCTTAGGAGTGGGAATGCTGGATCATATGGTAATTCTATTTTAAATTATTTTGAGGGACTACCATACTGTTTTCCATAGTGACTCCATCATTGTAACTTTTTGTATAACATTTTAATATGTAAAATTAGATTTTATATACAATGGCTAGATTGTGAATCCTTTAGTGGAAGGAACTGTGTCTTAAGTATATTGACACAGATTCTAGAAGATAGTATTTCATTTACTGAATCTCCATCCATTCTTTTTACTTCTCATATACACATAACACACACACTACCTTGCACCTACATGTTCTATCTCCGCTTCCTGCATAAAAACATCTTGGATTAGGTGGCTCAGTTGGTTGAGCATTCAACTCTTGATTTGGGCTCAGGTCATGATCCCAGGGTTTTGGGATCGAGTCCTGTGTCAGGTTCCTCACTGAGCATGGAGCCGGCTTGGGAGTCTTTTCCTTCTCTGCCCCTCTTTCCCACTTGCATTCTGTCTCTCTCTCAGGTAAAAATCAACAACAACAAAAAATCTCTAATCATTTGTTTCTCCCTATCTCTACCTACTACCTATGACATAATAAGCATTAAATCACTGTTAGCTATAATTAGTGTTATTCTCTAAGGGTCATGCAGAGGAAAGCTGGACGTTTTAAAGGAGATGGAGCAATTGATATCGCAATGTGGAAGTTGAGACAAATAGGATAAATGTTAACAAATTAGTTTAGTTGTAGCTGAAAAAATCTGTGCAGGAGGTTTTCCATCAGGCTAATATAAAATTCTACAGAAAGGCAATCTTAAGGAAAAGATAATTGTGCTTCTTAATACGTAAATAGATTGCTCATCACTTTTTTATGATATATTTTAAAGGGGTGTTGGTTGCATTTTCTTTGAAATGGCTTCTGGAAGACCTCTGTTCCCAGGATCAACTGTGGAAGATGAACTGCACTTAATTTTCCGACTGCTAGGTAACAGAAATATTTTCCCAGTAATTTGTTACCTACAATTGACTAGCTAGATAAGACTATATATTTTAAAGTTTGGTACTGAGACTAACATAAATATTTGTTATAAGAATTATAATTAGTTGGGGCGCCTGGCTATCTCAGTCAGTATGGGGTGTGTGTGACTCTTGGTATCTAGGTTATGATTTCGAGTCCCACATTGAGTGTAGAGATTACTTAAAAGCTGAAAAAAACAGTACTGATTAAAAATAAAAAAGAATTATAATTAGCATAAAGATGGAGCCTTCTAGGTAACTTCTTTTCATTTACTGAATTCTGTCTTTGCAATAAAAATATTATGAAAGAACAGAGAAGATAAATATTGCAAATTGACCATTAGCATATTAATAGGAAATATTTGTAGGTTAAATGTCAGTTGGGCAGCATCATTTCTATGGTATCATTGCATAGTCCAAAAAAAAAGTCCATATGTGTTTGCTATTTCTATCGTTTTGCTTTCAGTTGAAATAGTCAAATCATCTACCAAATGTAAATTGTCCTTTAAGACACTTTTTTAGTTGTCCTTATGTATGTATATTTGCACACATATACATTTTTATATATTTATTAAGTATGACTTTTTTTTTTTTAAAATAGGAACACCATCTCAGGAAACTTGGCCAGGTGTTTCTTCAAATGATGAGTTCAAGAACTACAACTTTCCAAAATACAAACCACAGCCTCTCATTAACCATGCACCCAGGTATTTTCCTTTTTCTTTTAATGTTTATTTATTTTTGTGAAAGAGAGAGACAGAGCCTGAGGAGGGGAGGGGCAGAAAGAGAGACGGAGACACAGAAACCGAAGCAGGCTCCAGGCTCTGAGCTGTCAACACAGAGCCTAACACTGGGCTTGAATTCAGGAGCAGTGGGATCATGACCTGAACCGAAGTCAGACACTTAACCGACTGAGCCACCCATGTGCCCCTCTTTTTCTTTAAGTTAAAAGGGGGAAAACCCACATGATTCTTTCTATTCTCTTGAAGCATTAGCCACAGTACGGATTTAGGAAAAAATATATATAATGCATACAGTTCTTAAATATTTTAGAATCTAGTTTAATTGGATTTCTTCCTCCCTTATGTCAGATTAATTTTATAATTCAGAAATCAAGATATGTAAATCACAGAATTGAGCTATAAATAAAATGAATATAAAACAACTGTATTAGAATTCTAGAGTTTATGGAGGTTATTTCCTTTCTCAGAAAGAAGACATTGGTTAATGTCTTTTCCAATACCATGAAGACCATGATGAAATTTCTGTTTTGCTTCCTATGAGATTATTCTGTACTTACTAACAAAAACCTAAGAAAGTGTTATAAGTGAAATTTTGACTCTGACACAAGATGACCTGTCAGTATTTGGCCAATGTTAATGACATAATTTGTATTTGAAGAATGTAAATTCTTTCCGTCCCCTCATATTGTAAATGTTAACCATTTCATTAAAGTTTCTTCTCAAATCTATCCCCAAATCTATTTAAAACCCCCATTAAAATGTTAGTCAGAAGTTTTTACTTATGGAATTATTACATTTTCTTTTTCTTTTTTTTTTTTTTTTTGAAGGGAATTATTACATTTTCAGTACAGAACAGAGAATAACCCCTTTGACTATATTTTTTCATCTTTCCTTAAAAAAAGAGTACACCCAGATGCCAAATAAGGTCAATGTCTGTTTTAATCAAAGCCATTCTCATTGCTCACAGCATAACACAGTTGCTCTAATTCCATTTGTTCTCAAGTAGAGAGAGTAGAAAAAGCAATTCCGATACCAAAAATATTTTTAAAGTATTTATGTGAATTGATGTTCTTATTGTTACTATAGCAACTAATAACCTTCTAAGTAGTCTTTCTTAGGAAGAATAATATTATTGCAGAGCTTTGTGTGTGTGTGTGTGTGTGTGTGTGTGTGTGTGTGTCTCTCTCTTTCTTCTAAGTAGCATAAATCCTGTTTTTGTCATTTATATGTTGCTTGCTGTTGTAATGTCCAGTGCAGAAAGTTGAAGCTCTTCTTCAAAACAGGTTCTCCATGACCTTAACCCCTGGTTTGTCTGTGCCCGAGCTGCTCTGGATATCTGTCAGAATGGCAAACTACAAAGGATTAGAGGAGTCTGGAGAATGTCTAGGCCATAGTACCCACAGAACCCATTAAGAGCACTTGGGGAAAATATTTATATTGGCAGTGAAAGTCAGTGCAAAATAGAGCCTGTGATTTCTGATCAAGAGATTACCCCAATTAAGATAGTCCCCAAACCCTCCACTGCTTATTATATGAATATCATCACTATAATTATCTGTCTTTATTGACTGCTTCATTGGTTTTATAGCTCTAATTTTAAAAAAATTTTTTTTCTTCATTTATTGATTTTTTTACTTAAGTTCTAGCGAACATACAGGGTAATAGTGGTTTCAAGCATAGAATTTAGTGATTCATCATGTACATCCAGCACCCAGTGCTCATCACAACATGCGCCCTCCTTAATGCCCATTACCTATTTACCATTCTCCAGCTACCACCCTGCCAGCAACCCTCAGTTTCTTGTCTGTAGTTGAGTCTCTTATGCTTTGCCTCCCTTACTATTTTTTTCCCTACCCCTATGTTCACCTTAAATTTAATTAAGTTTTATGATGTTATTGAGGCAATTGAACTTTATAGGAGTGCCTGGGTGGCTCTGTTGGTTAAGCATTCCAACTCTGGATTTCGGCCTAGGTCACGATCTTATGATTTTTGCGTTCAAGTCCCACATTGGTCTCTACGCTGACAGAATGGTACCTGCTTGGGATTCTCTCTCTGCTCCTCCCTGACTCATGGGTGTTTGTTTTCTCTCTCTCTCTCACTCCCTCCCTCCCTCTCTCTCTCTCTCAATAAATAAATAAATAAATATATATATAAATAAATAAATAAATAAATAAGTTGAACTTCATAGCTTCCAGTACTTAGTTCTCAGTAGACTGTTCTGTAAAAATATGTTGAATGAGTCACCTGTGTTTATTATGAACCACAGTGACACATTTTGGGGTCACTTGTCTCTGTTTTCACCTATATGATATAATAAAATGATGCTTTTGTATCTTGCCTTAATGGAACAATATGAAAATGATACATTTAAGCTTTTCCGATAATAGAGATTACTTTGAGACAGAATGGTGATTTTTAAGAAAATCTTTATTTTAGTAATCTAATTCATTCTTCATTATTGAAAATTGAATTGAAGTGTAGTGTTTTATATTTTCTTCTTAAACAGTGGCAAGATAAGTCCTTCAAGCATAAGACTTTTGAGTCTTTTGGAAGCAGAAAGAGTAGTTATTTTAGAGTACTTAAACTCGGCAGATTAAAACATTTGGAAAATAGTTTTATTTGAAAAGTTATTGTCAGCTAAGATAAAAGAATAAATTGCCACTTTTTGTTGTTTTAGGTTAGACTCTGAAGGAATCGAGTTGATAACAAAATTTCTTCAGGTAAGTTACATCTTTGTAATTATTAAGCCTCAGTTTCTGTATCCGTAGAATAGGATCAGGAATACCTCCCTTAAATATTTTTCATGAGCATTAAATAAGATTATTCATAGTAGTACTTGGCATGCTTAAGTCATATGCTTAGATAAAATAATAATCATAAATAATGCTTTCACTCAATGTATCTGGGTCTCTTGTACCCTAGAACAGTCTGAGGTTGTCACCTTCTGGCATTGATCAACTAAGTCAAGGGCATGTTCTCTGAAATTTATGTTATGTTCTCTTTCTTTTCCTTATACATACTGCTTTATAGGCTGCTGCACCTAAAAATACCATTCTTATCTTCTATTCAAAGCAGGAAGGAGAGAGAGGATAAGAGTGTCAACCATAATAGTCTTCTTGTATCTGGAAAGCAAAAGCTTTTCCAGAAACCCCTGCAAGGCTTCTTCCTAAGTCTCTTTGGCCAGAGCATTAATTGTAAGAGAGGCTGAGTATTGGGGAGCAAGACTGTCAAAATTAGTCTAAACTTAGCATAGTCACAGTTCATATTGATCTGTTGGGCTTGGAAGCCTGGACCTTATACAAGTCAAAATTATCTCATCAAGATAAAAAGGGAAATGGGTATCCAGTAGGTAATTTAATAATATTTGTCATCATAGTATTGAGCCTATTTCCAATGTTCATGAGGAAAAGTAACAACAAAAGTCAGGCATTTTAATTTTTCATCACTTCAGAAAATACAGGAAGTCTTAAGTTTTTAGTGAAGATCTAACTTCATCTTAGAAATTTGGAACATAGATAAAGTCATTACATAATCTCAATAGCAACTCACATTAGAGCATATCTCATGTACTCCAAGTTGGTTCTTAAAAAACAGTTATTGTATTAAATCATCTAGTAGCTCTAAATGCTAATCTACCTCCCCTCATAGTCTTTAGAGAAAAAGTTAATGAAGTAGTTCTTTGCTTTTTCACAGTACGAATCTAAGAAAAGAGTTTCAGCAGAAGAGGCTATGAAGCATGTGTACTTTCGAAGTCTGGGACCAAGAATACATACTTTACCTGAAAGTAAGAGAAATTCTAAAGTCCCCTCCTCCCACTTTCATTTGTCCAGGGTAGGAGGCTGGGTGGTAAATTAGGGGTTTGGGAAGAGATTGTTAGTTTTTAAGCCTAAAATTTTACTCTTTTTGTAAGTACATCAGAATTTCTTGAAGGGAAGTAGATGTCTTCCTTACCTATGTTTTAATTTATTTTTGTTAACACTGAGCACATTGCCACTGCTCTGTAAGAAATCAGTGGTACTTGGGCATGGATTATTAATCTTACTGGACTTAAATTGGAAAATGCCATCTGATGATAGACTCAGTCTTAGGCCCAATCTGGATTGCTTTGATTCAGAGTTTCTAAAAATGGATTTCAGGCAAAGAGTAACGAAGCACAGCCAAAACATAAGATTATTTCCTTGTGAAAGTAGATTTCCTTCTCAAGGTACGAAGATGACTTATCTTTGTTGTGGTCATTCTGACTTTACTATCCTCATGACAGTGGTGAGCATATTGTTAGTCACTAAAAGAGCTGATTTCTCATGCCTGAGGAAACTGCTTCATTTTACTTATAAGCTCTTTATTTAAAAATTACCCCCAACATTTTACTTTAAAACTGAGTTAAGGTGACTAGGGAATTAGAATATTTAGGAACTGAGATTCCAAAAGCTTTCATTAATTTACCGTTCTCATCTACCACTAAATAATACTGATTCACTGAGGTTTACTCTTTGGAATCAAGATTCCTTAAAGCTTTTTTTTTTTTTTTTTTAATGTTTTGTTTATTTCTGAGAGAGAGAAATAGCGTGAGCAGGGAAGGAGCAGAGAGAGAGGGAGACACAGAATCTGAAGCAGGCTCCAGGCTCTGAGCTAGCCATCAGCACAGAACCTGACTCGGGGCTCGAACCCACGAACCGTGTGATCATGACCTGAGCTGAAGTTGGACACTTAAGCAACTAAGCCACCCAAGCGCCCCAAGAATCCTTAAAGCTTTAACTTAGAGCTTACTGGATATTTTTTAATGAGAGACTACCATTCTAGCAGAGATTGGAAATGAGAAAGAGATTGGAAAAAGGAAGATGGAAATGAAAAGAGAATTACAAATATTTTTGTAAGATGATATTTACATTTCATTATTAATATCAAATTTCATAGTTTGAGGTAGGCAATTATGGTTGTACAAACCTACTTCTCATTTTTCTCTCAAAATCTGAAGATAGTCTGAGGCCTGGATACCTTCATACCATCATGAGAAAACAGATAAAGGACAGAGAGAATAAAAGCCAAGTAATACCTTTTGATTAGGTCTCCCAACCCCAATAAGTCCTAGAAATAGACAGTATATATTCTCTATATGTACATATTTGAAGAGAAACATATACCAAAAGCATGACTCAAAGCAGAGTTGTGGGTGGGGGGGCAAAATTCTGAGGGGAGATTATTGTGTTTGGTTTTTGTCTCAAAACATTGGGACAAAGAAGAAAAATAGTTCAGCAGGGCTGTAACCTTGTAAATGTAGCATAAATCTTTCATGTTGAATCAGTATACATTTTTAAACATTCTGTAGATGGTTGGATTGTATTTGTTTTAATAATTCCAGACCTTCACCTGATAGTTTTTGTCTATGCATTTTAGGTGTATCAATATTCAGTTTGAAAGAGATTCAGTTGCAAAAGGACCCGGGTTTTCGAAATTCTTCTTATCCAGAGACAGGTGTGTTTGTCATAAACCATTTCACGTGTCGATCATGAAATTTTGCGTGGAACTAATTTTTTGGTTTATAAATTGATCAGTAAAATGATTGATGTAAAAACCAATGTACAGTGCATTCCACAACTGTATGTTTAGCATTGCACGTACTCACTTTTCTGTATGATGTGGGCAGCTCAGTAATTCTTCAGAGAGAAATCTGACTCAGTCAAGTCAGGGATCCTGAAAGCTGCAGATGGCACAAAGACCTTTTACAAGTGGCCTGGCTTGATCACTGCACACGCCATTCCTGGTACCTGAGGCAGAAGACACATCTTATGCTTCCCTAGTCATCAGGTTCATCACTTCGAAGCATAGAAGCTGTAGACTGACCCCATCAACAAAAGGGTCATTTCAGACAGTGCTGATCACTCTTATCGTGGAAGATTAGTTTTTGCTGGTGGGAACATTAGCTTCCTAGAGTCACCAAATACTGTATGTGGGATAAAACTGAACCTTGAACTGCCTCATAAAATGACTTTATATTTTAGGACATGGGAAGAACAGAAGACAGAGCATGCTCTTTTAAGTCTGATAACATGGTTTCAAGCCCAGCCCCCAGCCTTTCTTATCAATCAAGGACTCAGATCTGAAGGCAGTTATTTCTTTTGGTGGACTTGGAATCTCCGTTTGTCTACACTGTCCTCTTCACAGTGGAGTCTTTTTATTTCAGACCTACAGATTGTTTTTATATTTGTTGTCACAGTGTGACAATTTTTTTGTACAGTTGGTTTTAAGGTCTTCTCTGCCATTAGAGCCAGTAGGTTACAGCTGTTGATGTAACTGTAGCTGCAATTTTTGTGCAGGACTGAGAAACACAGTGCATTATTTATTGCGGAATCATTGCTGCTAAATAACTACTGTCTGTTTATTTAACACAACAGTTAAATGCCTGAAGAAGTTGCAGTGGCTTTATTAGATGTGAATGCATCTGTTTCTCCTCACGACTTGTTTTACTGCTGCATTTCTTGTTTGTTTTTAAAATTAAACTGCAGTGTTTCCTGGAATGTAAGTTTAGCTTTGCTTAACAGTAAAATAAGTGAGCCATCTTGAACACTCCTAAGTTGATGCTGTATAATTTTTTACTGAACATCAGCAAATAGAGTAGCTAAGAAATTGATGAGTACATCATGTTTAGGAAAGCATGTGATGCAGAGGTTGATTCAAGCAAGTGAATACCTGACATTATGGGAATCTCACATTAGATACCAGTAATTTAAAGCACCAAAATTATTTATTTTTACCTTGCCTCATTTTAGAAATATTTACTGCATATTATTGGATATGTGTATACTAATACACTTACCTATTTTACATTGTGCTTTAATTTAGTTAAAACTAAACCATACAAGTCCAGTGAAATATGTGAGGTCTTGTTTTCATTCTAAATGCAATTCTTTTATTAAAAAGGATGATACTTTTATGGGGAGCCAGTTATTTCATTTGGGGGCTGCGTATGCATATGTTTTAATAACATTCACTTGGAATCAGCTAACAGCTGTAATATGTCTTTGAAATGAGCCATGATAATTACAAATGACCGAAATAAGAACTGAGAGGATTGTTTTAAAGCATTGTAGGTATTATTGTGTTTATCAGAGATAGTAAATATTACAGTTTCAATTATGCATCTCTTTGAACATCATAAACACGCCTTGGTGTTGGTAAGTGTTTTAAGCATTTGTGTTAACTTTTAAGGACTATTGTTTAGTGCATCTTACAAACTACAAATCTTAATTGGTATATTTTGAAATGGTCATGTAAGTTTTTGGCTTATATATCATGAAAATAATAACTTAATTTTTTCCTGATATTCACTGTAAAACATTCAGGGGTCCTACCATTTCTGTTCAGGAAATCTTGTAGTTTATTGTTATTTAACAGTATTAAGTGAATTTTTGTATATTTCATTTTAACTTTATTTGTGAATAGTGATTGTGGCATGTTTGGGTGTTATTTTAATATTTCATGATACAGAAATTTTAATTTTTAAAAAAAAATGTTCTGGAAGAAACAGATTCATGTGTAATGGTGAATATTGGACCACTACTGCTTTTCACATTTGTAAATTGGTTTTATGTTAAACCCTGTAGCCTAACAAACTGCTGTTATTTCTAACTGACAGACATGTATTAATATTGTACTTTGAAGGTTATAAATATTATGTGGAAATTCCTCCATTTTGTTTTGAAATTTATAATAACAAGATCTTCATGTTGTTAATATGTGGTTTTGTTGAGTCACAGTTCTTTCTGGGGCAAGAGGGCTGTGCAGGAAGGGATCATTTTCCTTGATTCGTTTCATTTTTAGGAGAATGGAGTCTCACTGTGCCAATAGTGATATTTAATTTTTATTTGTGCTGGCCATTCATTTAGTAATCTCTACTGTAATGTTATGCGATAGCACTCCTCAATTATAGAGTTGTCAGATTTTTTGTTTTATAGGTTATAAAAATGTTTTGCAAATTTTATATAGTTATCCATAAGTTTGATATTCTTACAGGTAAAACATGAAGAAATATATCCAGCAGTTATATAAAATTCTTCTTCCTAGGAAGTCCTAGGGATGTTTCTTCCTTTTATTAAAGAATTTGGTATTTTTTTTTGGTACTTGAGCACTACCTGAAAACTTTGCAATGAAGAGAATTGAAACAGAGATTTTGAACCTTGAACACTTATGATTCATCTTAAACTGACTTGGTTTTAAAGGTAAGTGAGGATTCGTTTTGTTTTCCTTCCAGGTGATGCTGTCAACACACGTTGAATATGTCACTCTAGGTGTATAGAAGTGACTCCATTCTATCTGGTGCTTTATTATATCTAAAAGATTTTGTTAACATGTTATAATAATCTGTCATTTGGGCCCAGGACAATTCATGAGGTTGAGGTTGTTTTTTTGTATGCTTCTGTTTTTACTATTTTTTACCATTTTTTACCCATTGTAAGTATACAATTTATTGGCATTGATTAGAGTGTTGTATAGTATTTACACTGTCTTTTTCCAAAATTTTTCATCTCTCCAAACAAACTCTATACCCATTAAGAACAACCCATTTCCCCCTCTCCATAGCCCCTGGTAACCTTTAATGTATAGGCATAACTCATTTTACTGCACCACACTCACTTTGTTGTGCTTTGCAGATACCGTGTTTCTTAATAAATTGAAGGTTTGTTGTAACCCTGCATTGAGCAAGTCTGTCGGCGCCATTTTTCCAACTGCATTTGCTCACTCTGTGTCTCTGTGCCACATTTTGGTAGTTCTCTTAGTATTTCAAGTTTTATTATTATATTCTGGTGTTTTGTGACTAGTTGATATTACCATTGTAATTGTCTTGGGGTGTCACAAATCACACCTATGTAAGACAGTGAACTTAACTGAAATGTTGTGTGTTCTGACTGCCCCAACAGGCTGTCCCCCCAGCTTCTCCCTCTTCTCAGGCTTCCCTATTCCCTGAGACACAACAATACAGAAATTAGGACAATTAATTACCTTACTGTGGCTTCTGAGTGTTCAAGTGAAAGAAGAGTCACACATTTCTGAGTTTAAATCAAAAGCTTTTAAATGATTTAAGCTTAATCAGGAAGGCATGTCAAAAGCCAGCATAGGCTGAAAGCAAGGCCTTCTTGGTCCAGTTAGCCAAGCTCTGAATGCAAAAGGAACAGCTATTGAAGGACATTAATAGAGCTACTCCAGTGAACACATAAATAATAACAAAGGGAAACAGTCTTATTGCTGATATGGAGAAAGTTTTTTTGGTCTGGGTAGAAGATCATATCAGCCACAGCATTCCCTTAAACCAAAGCCTAATCCAGAGTAAAGCCCTAACTTGCTTCAATTCTGTGAAGGCTGAGAAAGGTGAAGAAGCTGCAGAAGAACAATTTGATGCTAAAAGAGGTTGGTTCATGAGGTTTAAGGAAAGAAGCTATCTCTATAACATAAGTGCAAGATGAAGTAGCAAGTGCTGATGTAGAAGTGGCAGCAAGTTATCCAGAAGATCTAGCCAAGATAATTCATGATGGTGGCTACACTTAACAGATTTTCAGTGTAGGCACAACAGCCTTCTCTTGGAAGAAGATGCCATCTAGGACTCTCCTGGCTAAAAAGGAGGTCAATGCTTGGCTTCAAAGCTTCAAAAGATAGATTGACTCTCTTATTAGAGACTAATCCAGCTGATGACATTAAGTTGAGGCCAGGCTCATTGACTATAAAACCATAGGACCCAAAAGAAATTATGTTAACTCTATTCTTCTTGTGTTCTGTCAGTGGAACAACAGAGCCTGGATGATATCACATCTGTTTACAGCATAGTTTACTAAATGTTTTAAGCCTACTGTTCAGAAAAAAAAAATTTTTCAAAATATTACTGTTTCTTGAAAATGCACCTGGCCACCCAAGGGCTCTGATGGAGATAAATCTGTTTTTCTTGCCTCTTAACACCACATCATCGATTCTGCAGCCTCTGGATCAAGGAGTAATTTGGGCTTTCAAGTCTTATTCCTTAAAAATGCATTTTGTCTTAGATAGTGATTCCTCTGATGGATCTGGGCAAAGTAAATTGAAAGCCTTCTGGAAAGGATTCACCATTCTAGGTGCCATTAAGAACATGTGTGATTTATGGGAGGGCTCAAAATATCAACATTATCAGGAGTTTGGAAGAAGCTGATTCCAAAACTTTGTGGAGGAGGTAGCTGCAAATGTGGAAATAGCAAGACAACTAGAATTAGAAATGGGGCCTGAAGGGGTGCCTGGGTGGCTCAGTCAATTGGGCAGACTGGCTTCGGCTCAGGTTCATGAGTTCGGGTCCTGTATTGGGCTCTGTGTGGACAGCTCAGAGCCTGCAGTCTGCTTTGGATTGTGTGTCTCCCTCTCTCTCTCTGCCCCTCCGACACTCACACCCGGTCTTTCTCTCTCTCTCAAAAATAAATATTTTTAAAAATTAAAAAATCAATGGAGCCTGAAGATGTAACTAAATTGCTGCAGTTTCATGATAAAATTTTAATGATGGGAGGTTACTTCTTGAGATGGAATATATTCCGAGTGTGGATGCTGTGATTGTTGAAATGACAACAAAAGATTTAGAGTATCACATAAACTTAGTTGATAAAGCAATATTAGGGTTTAAGTTGACTCCAGTTTTGAAGGAAGTTCTGTGGGTAAAATTCTGTCAAACAGCATGAAAGGAAGAGTCCATCATTTCAGTAGACTCTCTTGTTTTATTTTGAAGAAATTGCCACAGTCACCCGCCAGCCTTTAGCAACCATCACTCTGATCAGTCAGCACCCATCAACATTTGGGCAGGACCCTCCACTGGTGAAATGACTATGACACACTAAAAGCTCACTCAGATGGTGGCTAGCAGCTTTTTAGCAATAAAGTATTTTTTAATAAAAGTCTGTGTACACTTTTTTTAGACATAATACTATTGCACAGCTTAATAGACTACAGTATAAACATAATTTTTTTAAAAAGTTTATTTTGAGAGAGTGAGATAGCATGCAAGCAGGGGTAGAGAGAGATTCTGCACTGATAGTGCAGAGCCTGATGCAGGGCTCAAACTCCACGGGGTCATGACCTGAGCCAAAATCAAAAGTTGGAGGCTTAAACAACTTACCTACATCTAATTTTTATATGCGCTGGGAAACCAAAAAATTCATTTGATTCACTTTATTATGATATTTGTTTTATTGCAACAGTCTGGAACTGAACTTGCAGTATCTCCAAGGTAGGCCAGTACTTTTTTAAGTTTTACTTACTTCTGTGATCTCTGCACTCAACATGGGGCTTACGCAACCCTGAGATCCAGAGTTGCCTGCCCTTCCACCCGTGGTATGCCTGTAATTTTTGTGTCTGCATTTTATCTATTGTAGGCATTTCACATACGTTGAGTTATACCACATTTGTCCTTTTGTGTCTTGCTTATTTCATTCATTTAGGATGATTTCAAGTTTTATTCATGTTGTAGCATGTATCAGGATGTTATTTTCATATCTGAATAATATTCTGTTAATATGCAACATTTTGTTTAAGTATTCATCTCTTGATTTCACACTGGCTTTTCCCCACTTTTTGGCTGTTGTGAATAATGCTGTCCTGAATATGGGTATACAAGCATCTGTTTAGGTCTTTGTTTTCATTTCTTTGAGTTTAAATACCTAGGAGTGGAATTGTTGGGTCATGCATAATCTGTGTTTACCTTTTTGAGGAAACATCAATTTTCCATGGTGACGCACCATTTTACATTCCTAGTCATAATGTATAAAAGTTCCAATTTCTCATTCTTGCCAATGCTTCTATTCCTTTTTTAAGCAAATTATTATATTCATTGTAGTACATATGACATGCTGTCTCCTTGTGCTTTTGATTTGCATTTCCCTAATGAGTAAGGATGTTGAACATCTTTTCATGTCCTTATTGGCCACTTGTATATTTGCTTTGGAGAAAACTATTCAAGTCTATTACCCATTTTGAAATTGGGTTGTTGGTGGTGGTGAGTTGGGTCATAAAGCTGTGTAGTTCTAGATATTAGACTCATGAGAGGTATGATTAGCAGTTATTTACTTCTATGCTGTGGGTTTTTTTACTTTCTTGAAGGCATTTTTTTGATACACTAGACCTTTCATTTTATTTATTTTTTTAGTTCATTTTTGAGAGAGTGTACTTTTGCAAGCATGTAGGGGAGGAGCAGAGAGAATCCAAAGCAGGCTTCTTCTTGTCAGTGCAGAGCTTGATGCAGGGCTTGAACTGACAAAGCATGTGATCATGACCTGAAATCAAGAGTCAGATGCTTAACTGAGCTACCCAGGCATGCCAAGAGTTTTCATTTTAATGAAGTTCAATGTATCTTTTGTTTTTGTTTTTTTTTTTGAATGCTTCCATTTAGGGCTTTGAGTTAATTTTGTATGTAGTGTGAAGTTTGAATCTTCATTCTTTTGCATGTAAATGTCTAGTTTTCCCTGTACTATTGTTAAAAAGACTATCCTTTTACCATTAAATGGTCTTGGCACCCTTGTTAAAAGTCAGTTGACTATAAATGTGAGAGTTTATTTTGGGGCTCTTGATTCTATTTTATTGGTATATCTTTTGGTCAGTACCACAGTGTTTTTGTTACTTATAGCTTTGTAAATTTTGAAATCAAGAAGTGAGTCCTCCAACTTTGTTCTTCTTTTTCAAGACTGTTTTGGCTATTCAGGGTCCCTTGAAATTCCATATAACTTTTAGGAAGGGATTTTTCAATTTCTGAGGAAATATGCCATTGGGATTGATAAGAATTGCATTGGTTGAATCTGTAGATTACTTTGAGAGTTCTGTGATCTTAATATTAAATCTTCCAGTCCATAAATGCAGGATGTCTTTAATTTCTTTTACAATGTTTTGTAATTTTTTAGTGTATAAGTCTTATGCCTCCTTGATTAATTTTATTGCTAAGTATTCTATTCTTTTTGATGTTATTGTAGACAGAATTATTTTTTTTGAATTTTTCATTTGCTAGTGTGTAGAAATACAAATGATTTTTGTGTCTTATAATTTTGCTGAAGTTTATTTTTTTTGTGGGTTAAGGTTTTCTACATGTAAGATGATGTCTTCCATGAATACTTCCTATATAATTTCTTTTATTTTTCTTTCTTAATTCCTTTGGTTAGACTTTCGGTACTATGTTGAAGTAGAATTGGCAACAGAGAGTATCCTTATCTTGTTCTTTATGGTAGGGAAAACACTTTCAGTCACCATTGAGTATGATATTAGTTGCAGCTAAAAGAAATAAATGATCATTTCTTTTTTCCCTTCCTTACCACCTACCCTATCTTTCAATGTAGAATGATTGGGAGACCTTAAGATTTAAGAGATCAAGGGACCACTTTTCAAACCCATTCTCCTCCCCAACCCTCACAAATGCAACCTTAATAATTGTTTCGTTAATAATTGTTTCATTAAATACCTCTTTAAAGCAAATTATGTATACAATAGCATGTTTTGATGTATCATATTTAAGGCTAGAGGCCAAGACTTATTTTTCAACTTGTACCCATGTGGAAAAGTAAAATTTGGATCATCCCAGGTAAATGGAAGTAAACCAACCCACTTGCCTCCTCACACCTTTTATCACAAAGTATTTATTGAACAAAAATAATAGTAAAATTGATACATATATGAAAGTGAATGAAGATATGCACTCATAG